AAAAAGATTGTGGTGAGACCAAACACGATAATTCCCCACAGTGCAAATACAAAAATTACTGTTATGCATTATCTGCATATCCTGAGTTATGGACACTGTTTAAAAATACATTTTTCTTTTTTAAAATCAAAGCATGGACTACGATCCAAAAGGATCGGTGATCAGAAACCTGCCATGGACTACAGTGTCCATTGCATAGTGTAACTGCAGGAATGCAATATGAAGTCTGAAACACCAAGCTGGGAACTCTGGGAGAGTTGTAGAAACTTAATTCCTAAAGGTTCTGTGCCCAAGGGGCACTTCTCAAATCCAACCTGAGATATGCGGGTGATGCAAAACAGTACTTTTTTGTATTTAATTAGCAGGCAGTTTCACTGACAAAATAAAGAAATTCCATATGAATACTTATCTATAGGGGACATGTCCAGTTCAAAATGTATTTTTTGTGTGAAAACCCTGAAGTCATCGATTTGCTATTGACAAGGAGAATCAAGTCTTAATACTTAGGAAATCGCTTTCCTAAAGGGACCCTTTTAGTTAAGAAGTGATTACGGTGACCGTTTACCTTATAAAACAATTTATGGTCGTAGACCCCATTTCCCATTACATTTTCCATGCTTACATCTCATAAAACAACATTACAGTTGAAATTCTGCAATAACTGATAATCTTGTGTCCATCTGTAAGATTGGAGAACCATTCTATTGGAAAAGCTAAAATCTGCAAAACATATTTCATCACTCTGTGTGCCAATATCCCAGAGCTTACACTGCCAACTTCTTACTTAAGAGGCAAGTTCGATTACACACAAAACCTATTGATCGATGTTCTTTTTGCCTCCAGGATGGTAAATCATTCGTACTATATAAAACTTATCTGTATCATCGGGAATAAAATAACAAAATGTATCCGTATTTCTATACAAAAATTCATTGCGGGCGACAAATATTTATGGAAAGCCTTTCAAAGGTGGCACTTGACCGGCAGTTCAGCCTATATTTTATTGCTTCGGCCATTTTATCGCACCGTGATCAAAACATAACAGAGCCCTTTATATTGTGCAGATACAGTAACAGAAATATATAGAAAAAGAGAATTTTACATTTTTGGCTCTGTTTTCTCTTTGAAGTCATTGTAAAAAAAAAATGGGTGGTGAACACATTCTAAACAATATTCTCAAACTATAAACACTATTTAATTAACAGGGTCCCATTAACACTGGTAGATTAATTGCAATATTACATTATATAACAGTCTCTAGAGTATTTATTTTGTTGTTGTTGCCTTTTTTTCCCAAGTATAATTTATCTAAATAAACTTTGCTCCCCAATGAAATATCTATCAAACTTTAGTAAAACCTTTGCATTTGCCAACGATACCGAACCTCTCTGTAGAAAAATGTTACAACCCTTTTTGAAATATCGTTCACCTAGCATCAGAATAAAGCTGCAGAAATTTACATTAATATGTCATTCACGTGAGCACACTTACAAGAACATTCAAGTCATTTTTAAGGCACATAGTTATATACAATTATTTGTTTTGTCCATTCCCTAAAAAATGTTGGTTTGTTTATTGTTACTCATATATATGAGACTCCATTCTCCGATGAATCTCTTTGTCTTGGCCATAGATCTCCACCACGTGTACTCCACTCACAGTATGTAAAGGAACACTGTGTCCAGGGACAAAATGCTTAGTGGATATTGGTTTTCCTGTACAATGTGCTCGGTTGTGTTCCTTAAATCCAGTGGCACTTATATTCCCAGCATGCATCTCATGGCATCTGAAAGAAAAGAGGACAAATTGTTATTACAATAAATGTACAATGCAAACATGATAAAGTATTTCAGTTACCACTTGGTTCTTTGTAAGTCCTTGAGCTAAAAAAGCAAAGCGTCAACTCGAGAAAAGATGTCTATCAGATACTGTGCTAATCCTGAATTCTAATCAGGTCTCTCTCTGCAGCAAACAGTAAAAACGTGTGAGTGGATGTCGGGGTACTGTTTTGAAACGGAGCTCTATTGATACACAAATCATAATGTAGAAAAATATTGACTTGTGCTTGATGGTACAGAGCAGCATTGGTTATATCAGAGGGGCAATAAGGGATTGGAATAAAGAGTGCATATATTCGGCCAAGTATGTTATGAAAGCAAGTAAATATGAATTTACAAACATATTGCTTTCATGACAACAGAGTGTTGTAGAATGTTTTCTCATTCTTTTGGATCAAATGCAAAAAACGGATGGAGTAAACCACTGATTCTTAATAATTTTAACAGGAACCAACTTAAATACATGGTACTTTATTATAAGTAATCAAAAACTTTTATGAGCAGCATGACAACTTACCTGAGCGTTAGTTAAGTGCTCTTAACCAATGAGTGCCTCGCCTCACTGCTGGGCTTAACTCAGTGCAGGAAGTTATGAGAGCAGTGGGCACCTAGCAGGTAAGTTGTTAAATCAACCTTATTTTCAATACTTACGCTGGGGAAGGGTTTTTTGCAAGGGAACTATTTCATAGAATTAATACTAACATTTATTCTAAAAATACTTTTTTTAGGCTTACCGTGGAAGGGAGTGATGTTACTCTAAACAACTTATTGTGAGCATTTGCCTGGGAACTGGATGAATATAAAGTGTCTGCTCGCAGATCCACTAAAAGAGCATGTGGATTCAATTTTAAATGCCAACGAAAGAGTTAAAACCACTGGTTAAAATAGTAATTTGAATGTCTTGAGTTTTCTTTATCAACCCATTAGCCATGTATTTGTAAGTAGGTAACTATTCATTTTATAATGTTCTAGTCTCCGTACACAGCATTTATATTGTCCATGAGGATTAGGGGGTACCTGCACTTCAGAAATATGTGCAGTTTCCACAGATGCTTCTAAAGAATGTTAGGTCAGTATAACATTCTAAACGTGTCTGTATTTTGCCTGTAATTTAGGGAAACCATTCATTATGCAATAAATTCTGAGGTTAAATTTGATCTTAGTGCTTTTCCTCCTTGTTTACTGAAGTCATCTTTGTAAGATTAGGAAGTGGTCAGATTTTACAGAGTTACATTCTGGCAAAAGGAAATGAAATAGAAGATTTACTTGTTAGTTACACCCTTCCTTTATAAAGTAACCAGTATTGTGCAAGGAAGCACGTTCTGCATAAGTTTTGCAATACATATTAATCACGGCGCATACATGCTTACATCGTGTAGGCATTGAATTCAAAGAACTTTGATGAAAACAAGGGAGGCAATCGAAAAGAAAGAAGAAAAGCGAAAGGACATGTCAGTGATATACGCAGGTTGTAGCGTGGTGTTCGTCAAAAATATGAAAGAAGTGTGCCATGAAACATGACCAACATTATACATGTAAAGATTAATGTCAGATATACACTAAATGTCAAGGAAAAAAATAAGTCAAGGAATGTCAAACTCAGACAAGGTATAGGTCAGGAGAGAAACGTTTATCAAAGGGATCCCAAAACAGTTTTTTTTGTGAGCTCATTCACTCTATCCACTAATGTCAATGGCTCTGGGGAATACATAGCTTGGCAGCAGTAGGCATATAGCATATACCTCAATAACAAAATAATCTTACGGATGTTGGTGGGGACACTTGATAGAGTCTCACTATGCACTAATATTATTGCAAGTATACATAAGTCCATCTATGATGGAAGAAGGAGTACTAACAAGCATGGATCAGGAAAAGCAAAAGACCTATGTAGGAGTACAATGGGGATCAATACCAAACATTTAACAGTTTTTATTAAGATGCATTGGGTGAAGATCTTATGCTTTTTTGGAACCCGTGTGCCACTGTTCTTGATAAAGACAGATCGCAATGCTCTATAAGGCCATAACAGGTGGCTGAATGAGTTACTGTGTAGCAGGAAGAGAAAGAAGACACTATGCATTAGAGAAGGAAAATCTACTCAAAGGAGATAAATAGGCACTCGAAAAAAAAGATGAGTCTCATTGAAAATAAAACTTTCCACCTGGTGGTTCCATGGTATAGATTCTCCTATGGTGGGTTTCTTGTCCAGCTGTACTCCCCTGCGTCAGTTAGGAAGGTGAATATATCTGCTTACAGTAAGCCTTAGAGCTTGGGAAATGTTCTCCTATAACTTCTGAAATGTTTGCAGGCATACTTTGTATAAAATGTTTAGAAAATATAAGATATTATATAAGAAAAAGTCCCCAGAATTTTTTTTTTTTTTACTGTCCCAGCTATATTAATTTCTGTCCAGCACATCACAAGGCAGTATCAAAGCCATTCATAGGACAAGGACGGCCGGTTTGCAATGCCATTAACAGCCTTATGGTATTAGACATCTGACAGATGGGAATTTATGTTGATTAGTAATTATGTTAATAAAAAGTCTTGCCAATTTTCTTCCAAATTTTCTCTGTCAGTCTATTATTTCTGCTGAAGGTATTATTTTATGATTGAAGGCCTAAAATATTTTTCCTGAGTTTTTTTTGGGGCCTTTTCATGTCATATAATTAGCAGCTAATTTTACAAAGTATGTAGAAATAGACAGTAGTTTTTATCAAGCAAAGAATGAAGGGAGTTAAGATCCTGTGAGGCAATGATGTATGTTTGGACTTCATAGGAATTGCTGATTACACGATGTTATTGAGCACATTGAAGAACGTCGCCCCCAAATGCCCAGGCTAATGCCTTGTTTGCCTCGTTTTATGGGGGCCCAAGAGCTGGCCAGCTGGTCACCTTTGGGCTCCCCCAGGTCAGGCGGCCAGTTGTTTCGTGGGCGGCGAGGGAGCACTTTCCCCTGAGCTCTCTCTACTCAGCTCTCTTGCGTGACCTGCAGTGATGCCTGGGAGCGTTAGTCCGGCTCCCGCCATCACTCTGTGGCTCACTAGGGAGGTGAGCAGAGAGATCACAGCTCCCTCGCTGACAACTTAGAGTGCCCGCCCACCTGCACGTCCAGCTACCTTCCTGCCCAGCATCCCGACCAGCAGTCCCACTGGACCCCAGGTGAAAAATCCACCAAGCTATCCCAAAAGTAGGGAGACTGGGTGGATTTAAATTGAAAATAATAATAATAATAATTGTGAGTGTTGGGGGAAAATGTGTGTTTGTCAATGAATATGACTGTGTGTGTGTGTCAGTGACTGTGATTGTGTGTGTCAGTGACTGTGAGTGTGTGTGTCAGTGAATTTGAGTGAGTGTGTGTCAGTGAATTTGAGTGAGTGTGTATCAGTGAATGTGGGTAAGTGTGTGTGTCAGTGAATGGGAGTGAGTTTGTGTGTGTCAGTGAATTTGAGTGAGTGTGTGTGTCTATCAGTGAGTTTGTGTGTTTCAAGGAACGTGTGTGTCTGTCAGTGAATGTCTGTGAGTGTGTGTGTCCAGTGATTGTGCGTGTCTGTCAGTGAGTGTCTAAATGATTGTATGTGTGTCAGATTGTGTCAAATCAGTGAGCGTATGTGTGTATGTCAGTGTGTGTTTATCAGTCAAAATGTGTGTAAGTTAACCCCTTAAGGACACATGACATGTCTGACATGTCATGATTCCCTTTTATTCCAGAAGTTTGGTCCTTAAGGGGTTAACAGGAAGAGGTGTGGCCTTGGCAGGAAGGGGTGGGTACATTTAAATTAGGGGGTGCCCGAGATCTGTCATGCCTAGAGGAAAACCATTTCAAAACACACCACTGGTTACAGTACGCATGAAGCATTCAACATGACAGTGACTTCTGTTTTAGGAAGACTTGACTCATTTGACATGATACATCCTGCATTATCCAGCAACCTTGGTGCATGTGGTTTGGTGTGACCATACAATATAGTAAAATTACTCTGAATATCTGGCTAATACCGTTTTTTTTCCCCTACTGTTATGTGAGGACAATTACTAACAATTTAAGCCCCCTGTTGGCTCTTGAGCATTACAAAAGTTCAACATACTCTAGTGTTTTTTGCATCTCCCTTCTTGCAACATGTGCTTGAATTGATGAAAACAATAACAGGGGTAAACAACAATAGATTCCTCTAAAACGTTCTAACTTTGGAGGCTCGGAGATGATGGCCTAGCTACCTATGGGAGAAAGTATAGCCAATCACAGGAAAAAGTTGGTGCTCCAAAAATGGAAGACTGTTGAAGTGGAGGAATCTTACATTATGGGGGTGAGCTGATTGAGGATTGGACATATGCATACATAGCCAAATAAGAACGTTTCCCCTCTTAGAAATTCTTGAATTAATTCTACGGACAGACATCTATTAAAAAAATAAAAATAATAATAATAAATATATATATATATATATATATATATATATATATTAATTATTCTTATATACAATTGCCATATACTGTTGCTGTGAATTATACAAAAGAATAGCAGGGGGATAAAAATCCGATAAAAGAACAATATATAATTATTCTGTAGTGATATTAACAAAATACGCTGCATTCCTGACAATGTTTTTAGGTTAGGTACTAGCTTTTATTTAAAGAATAGCATTCTCTTTTATTCATTTTATTAATTGTTATTATTATCGTTTATATAGCAACAAACACACTCCACCGAGATCTTAAAATTTTACAGTGTGCAAACAATTGAAAAAGGGAATAATAATGTGAGCAATGCATAGTAGTAATAAAGGCCTACTCAAAGGAGCATGGGGGAGGTTGTGCAAACACAAGTGGGCGAAGCTGTAGAGCATAGAGGTGAAAGTCCATTAACAAGTCACCTACATGATTTCTTAAAGGACCAGGGACTAGGAAAGATGTGGATTACATCTCCTATAATGTTCTGACAGCGATAATGCTAGCAGAGCATCAGGAGAGATGTAGTCCACAATATCTGGAGTGCGGAAAATTGCCCATCCCTCAACAAGGAGAACATCCTATAGGACAAGGCTGTGCAGTCCACAGAAATAGTGCTTCCCTTGAGAAATCCTGCTTGTCAAAATTAGTAATGTAAGTGCATACAAAAAAAAAAAAGAAACATATGGAGAGGAAAATGTTAGTCATGTGGTGTATATACAAAACAAGCTTTGAGGTAAAAAAGTGTCACAGAGCTGGGAGGTTGTATTGGCGTACTGCCCACATTAAAGATGGCGCTGGCGTGCGTGTGTGTCAACATCATGACGTTTTGGGGTCAAAGGCCATGTACTGATTAATTACAGCACTGAGAGGGATATTTAAACCCTCTTATGCCTTTTCTCAGTGCCCTGTCGTGGTTACCACTTGTTGGTTGTCTGAGAGTGCGTTCCTGTTCATTAGATTTTTCTGGTATTTGACTTTGGCTTCTATTCAACTTTCCCTACTTCTGATATCCTGACTTTGGGCTAGTTCTACGTTTATTGTGTATTTCTGTACCCTTGACTTTGGATTGTTTCTGACTATTCTCTTACGTTAAGTCCGGCCATTCTAAGGCCCGGTATACATATTTTGTGTTAACATAGTTGGGTCACTAGTAGTCGTGACAAAAAGGGAGTTGGGATAATAGACCTTTAGTTTATATGTCAGGAATTTTACTGTTTTAATACCGTTCCTTTAAGACGGCACTGACATACGTAATGCTAGCTTATTTAAGCGTCTGTCGTCTGTGCCTCAGGGCACAATTAATGTGTCTAAACCCTTGCATGCAAATTTCACCTTCCTTCCCTCTCCTAGGATCCTTCACCATGACTCAGAGTGCCTTGTCATCGGAACCCCCTAATACCTTCTTACTACTTACCTGATTGATCTACTGTTGACTACCTCGGCCTGCAGTTACCTTCTGCCTAACAGATGACCATTTATTCCTTCTGGATCTACTGTTTCTCTGTTTTTCATGTTTCTTTATTAAAAGTTGACCATTTTGACCCTATATCACCACTGCACACTCCTCCACCTCCTATCCTCATTGACAATGGTGAGGAATATGAGATTGAGGAGATACTCGATTCCAAAATCCGTTATAACAGAGTTGAATATTTGATAAAGTGGAAAGGCTATGATTATTCTCTGTTGGCACTGCTTTGTATTCACGTCAAAATAATTCACTATCTCTGCGGAGGGTTAAAGCAAATGCACTGATCAAAAGTCACATTTTCCACAACTTAAAGTTGCAACCAGCCTCCTGGATAAGATATATTTGTACATTTTGTCTCCACTGTACTTTCTACAAAGAGTTTATCCAAAGCAATTACATGCTTCTTCAGGGTCTTGATGACATCTTCCTGTCCCTCTACTTTCATCTTTAACAGTAGTGGGAATTCCCTATTCCACTAAATCTTGTACCAATGCTCTTGTGCTCAAATAGTCTCTTCAGGTCTAGATAATTCATACCCAGAGCAGGGCAAAGGGGTTGAAGGACATCCAAAGCACTCTTACTATGCCAGGACATTGGATTCTGTCTGTCCTCACCATTTACTGCAGATATTTACAGACAGACAGCTGTTACCCAGCAAGGTAGACAGAAAATCAAATTGTATCTGATGGTGTAATGTAATAAATCTGATAGGCTTATTATACAAAGTCATTTATATCTACCAACTACTGACAAAATCCCACAACGTGTGAAGCTCAAGTTCAATTAAAGCAGCATTGCAGTCAGGGACAATTCCCTTATTAATATTGTATACAAAATATTTTACGGTGCGGGAATAGTAACCTAGACATACAAGTAATTGCAACAGAACAATTTTGACATATAAGAAGAAGAGATAATCAAGAACCTTAAGATACTCAGTCTCAATATTTGCTCTAGTGTTTGCAGACACGAGAGTAAACTATTAGACACGTGTCTCAAATCAGGACCGTCTTACACCTACAGCAGTTTTGACAAGTATGGCACGGTGGCTTATTCTCTAAACACAGAATTGTTGTAAACTGACAAACAAATTGAAAATGTAGGGCAAAGTAGCAAATCCTCTCCAGCTTTAAATTGCAAATCTGTTCTAGCTTTGCTATTTTTACTATATTTTGCAATTCTGTTGTCAACACACCACACTGTTTGGGGAATTAACTCCTATCGATGCTGATACAAGAGATCTATTTTTATATCTCTTATTTCACATTGCACGGGCTATGGAATATCAATAAGCAGTAGGCATCTAATTAAATGGTGAAACACAAAAATGACAGCTTCAGCTCTATAGATTCCTGCCAACTAACTAAACACTGTTTATGCTGGAATGTTTACCTAAACACAGCCCTTCAAAAATATCCCTGATATAACAGCAGGAACCATAAACACCTACAGGTTCACTTATAAATATACATTAACTTGCTAAGAGCAGATAAATCCTCCAAATGTCAGGGCAACAATTAGCACTTTAAACATTAAAGTCCTGTAGTACTTGGCACAGAGGTTCTCGATGTTTGCTTCTTGCTGAGGGATCACTATATGCAATTAATAACTGTTTATTTTGCCTCTCTTTCTGTATGATTAACCCATTGAAGGTCACGAAGGCTGCTTACCAACTGCAGAGTTTTCACCATGAACATTAAAGCTTTATTGGCTGACGCTGCTAAACACCAGTCACTAAGGAGTGACCAACCACTCTGATTATTCTCGACGGAACCCACTAACTTATACTTGTTAACCCCCTTAAAATTAGTAATTAAATCGTAACACACCGAAATAATATTAATGGCCAGATACATCTTAAAACATGAAGTCACTCTCTAAAGTGGCTCTGTCACCTCAAACTTTCTTCTATTATTCCTCCTCTCTGTTCTTCTAATTACATTTTTTCATTTATTTCTCTATAAAACATGAGACAAAGTAGGGACTATTCTGAATTAAGTATTTTGTCCTATGTCTGACAAGTCTTGATAAAGGGCAGAGCTTAAGGCAAGCGCCACATCCTTTGTTAGCTTGACAAATTTGACAAAGGAATTGGAGCTTTCCTACGCCCTTACCGGACATAAGGGTGTGCTATGTTGTCCTACAAAAGGAGGGCTTTAATGCCCTAATGACCGCACCCTTCCTCCAGCCCAAATACTTAACCTCCATGGTGAGCGCGACAAACAAAGCAATCCAGCCGATCCGAGTAATGTGAGTGCAATAACACCGCAATCACATGACTCGGATCGGCTTGATTGACAGGTTTGGCAGGCAGTTACCTCAATATATAATTAATGAAACAAGCTAATTAAATAGAAATAACATATATGTTACACGTAGATTTAATATATATATATATATATATATATATATATATATATATATATATATATATATATATATCTATATCATTTCATTTTAAGTGTATTTTGATACACACATATATGTATTGGGGGACCCAGGCAGAAATTCCAGAGAGTTTAATTTGCAAGCCTTATATTTGACCCTGTAACTTTTCTAAATCCCTTAAAACCTGTACATGGGGGGTACTGTTGTACTTGTGGGACATCACTGAAGGCAGATATGATTGTTTCAGAGTAGTAAAACATATAATAACAATGATATCATCAGTGAAAGTGGGGTTTGTGTGCTGAAATAAAAATACCAAAAAAATTAAAATATATGAAAATTAACTTAGGTTTTTGTGACTAGCTACAAAAAATGACTGGACATACCCCATTGTGAGTACCATATGGTCTCAAAGGCAACATAGTTACATAATTACATAGATAAGCTGAAAAGAGACAGGTGTCCATCAAGTTCAGCCTTCCTCACATCTGTTTTTCGCTGTTGCTCAAAAAGAAGGCCAAAAAAAGGCAGTTTGAAGCACTTCCAATTTTGCAACAAACGAAGAAAAAAATATCCTTCTTGACACCAATCTGGCAAATTTCAATGTGTAAAAACTACAAAGCACACTCTCTTTATTTGACCCTGTAACTTTCCAAAACACCATCAAACCATTTCCCACTTTTTCCCTTTCCCGATTTTGTATCTGTTCACTGATTTGTACTCGGGATTACATACATTCTCAAAAAAGACTGATGGTGATAGGGGGCCTGAGTCACATGTGCATATGCAGGACTGTTGGGTACAAAATATAGTGTGTGTAGAAATGGTGTGAGTATTGAGTTTGTAATGCTGTTGTAAACAACATATTCATTGTGCATTGCATGTCTAATTTAAGATGAGAACCGGCTAAATAAAAAACAGATATCAGAGTAATAGTTGTGTAATTTGACAATTGACACCTACCTGCAAAATCCATGGTTCTCATAAGCCATATTTATCCAATCAAATATTATCCTGTTCCCTTCCTTATTGTTGTTGTTATTTCTGCCTTTGATCCCAAAATATGTGGCCTGCACATTTTCCAAATCGTCACAGTCTAGCTGATGCCACACAACCTTCTCTCTAATAAAAGTATAGAAAAGAAAAAAGTTTTAAATTGTAAAAAAATAAGAATAGATTAAATAGCACAGTTAAAAACATCATGATGCCTAATTTTTTATTTAAAAACATATGCCTTCCACAATGTCCCCATACATGTCTCTTCCACATTTTTGATAATTAATGGAGCACTCCAGGTTCTAAGTGATCCTCCGTTTTTGCATTGCAGGATACAGATCATTCATTAAAATATATGCAAACAAAAAATAAATAAATACTATTGTAAGGAGTGGGACCTAATTAGTAATGCCCAATTGGGTATTCTATGTTAGAATGCTCTTTTGATAAAGAAGGATTGGAGTAACCCTTTAATAATTTGGAGTCCCACTTTTGTTAGCCCCCCAAATTAAAATCTAGCACTGCCTTTGCCCTGATCTAGCAGAGCATTTAATAAAACATGAACGTTTAATCCCTTACATTTTTCTTGATGCCACAAAATTTATAGCGATAAGTGTGTCTATTTCATTTTTTTTTTCTTCTATTTTTCTTCTGCTCATAAACTTTCCAGTTAATTAACTTTAACACAATATCAATTTAATCCCAATGAAAACATATTGTTCTCTAGACCAATTAACCTAAAATGTAAGCAACGGTCACTTTCTCTGGTGTCAGAGGCAAATTAAACTGTCTCCAGAGATATTTAAATTGCCATCTATCATCCCTGGCTGTTAATGAGAATTGGATAGTCTCAGATAGTTGACACAAGTCGTAAATTCCTTATATTCCAGTCTGGATGTGAAATGAAAAGCAGCTCAAGTCTCAAATTCACTAATAGGGAAGGGTGCAGGCAGTGTTTCATCTGGAAAAGAAATCCACATAAGACACAAAAGCAGTGGCGGAACTACCGCGGTCGCAGGGGTCGCAGTTGCGACCGGGCCCGTCATTTCAGGGAGCCTGGCTGCCATGCCGGCATTGTGGTGCGGCCCTGGCCAAGCGGAGCAACCTGTGTCTGTATGTGTGTGTGTGTGTGTGAGAATGTCTGTCTGTATTTCCGTGTCTGTATGTGTGTGTGTGTGTGTGTGTGTGTTTGAGAATGTCTGTATTTCTGTGTGTGTTTGAGAATGTCTGTATTTCTGTGTCTGTATGTGTGTGTGTGTGTGAGAATGTCTGTATTTCTGTGTCTGTCTGTGTGTGTGTGAATGTCTGTATTTCTGTGTCTGTATGTGTGTGTGTGAATGTCTGTGATGACAGGGGCATGGGTGTCTGGGAAAAGGGTCAAGCCTGTACAAAAAGGAAGCGTGTGATTGAGACTGGCTGCCACACTGGCCAGCCCAACTAAGGCTCAGACTGCTGAATAACCTGAGCACAGTATGAACAGCCCAGGTGTGTCCACTGATACACTTACTGACAACGAGAGCAAACCCAAGCCAATGAGACAGGAGGCTCATATCGGGACTATCCTACAAAGTTGGAAACTGTTGAAAAACAGTATGGCAGAAAGATTAATATTTCCATCTGCAAGCAATGGCAAATTCAGCTATAATAATTTCTTGAGTGATAATATGGAAGTGGCCATTTTGGAATTTCGTCACACTTTTCAAGGTCTGATTGACCAATCATAAAATAAGGCTGTACAGAATATGCAATTTTGGCAACCAATCACAATCCAGGATTGATAGACACACACACACTCTCTCTCTCGCTCTCTCTCTTCAGAAAAGTCTAGAATTGAGACTGAAAACGTACTTTATTTGTTTCTGTACTGCTTTATTAAAGCAGTGATACTGCACTTAATTCAAGTCCCTCGAGTGTGCTTCTTTTTAATTCAGACCTGCTATCACCAGGGCACATATTTTTGTGGAGAGTGGAGTGCAGAGCCCCTGTTTGATAGATATTTTTATACACACACATACACATTTATATATCATCATTTTGGTTTCCTCTTACCTTTCTAAGCGTTGCCTCTCATTTTTCTTGACGCACTTGACAAGGCAGCATATAAAAAATGCCATAGACATCAGCAGGATGATTGCACAGCTTACAATGGAAGCAATTACTGCCACTTTAAACCCAAACGTATCATATTTAGACAGTGCTGCAAAGAGAGAGAGAGAGAGACAGAGAGAGAGAAAGATGGCTGTGTAACCAAAATGCAATAGCAATTTCATTTATCCTATGCATTTTATCACACTGCTGTCAAGCTGTGCATTATTTCCGGGCATTAGTTCTTACTGGCAGAATGATTGATCAAACACTGTCCATCCGGCCTGCCATATTGTATAGGAGCTGTTAACCCTTCTGTCAGCAACAAGTAACTTTTTTTTAGCTAATTGACTGAGCCAATTTACTTGCACTAGTGGCTTTATTTACTAAAACAGCAGCTGAATATACAGGAACTGCAAAGTTTAGGCCAAAATAGACAGGCTTACTATAACTTGAATTTTCAAATTCAATTTTGCACTTGCTTTGTGAATTATCTGCAAATAGTATTTACTAAAGTGATAACTGTAAGGAATTTAAGATGAATTAAAAGTGAATTTCCAAATTATAGGAATACTATAGCGTTACAAATACAAATCTGTATTCCTAACGTTATAGTGTCCCTGTCCCTACTTGTATTCAGGTCCCCACTGTGTGCACTTTACTTTTCCTTATTTTACTTTTCCTCCGACGTCACAGAGGGGCTATGGCCTTCTTCAGTGTGGTATAATCCATAAAGTAGCATAAAGGAGTATTGGGGACATAATGCACGGTGAGCACGTGCATTTTAACTTCATTATAGGAAAGAACTGAATTAATGCTTTCCTATGGGAAAAACTAGAACTAGCATCCTAAACAAGTTACTTTGCGTGGTATTATGTAAGAAGGTTAATCTTGGAACCTGTGTGGTGTCATGAAGATAAAAGCCTTCTACAGTCATTTTATGTGAGATAGTATTTAGTTTAAAGGGACACTATAGGCACCAAAACAACTTTATTTACATATATAGATCATGCCCCTGCAGTCCTACAGCTCTATTTTCTGCCATTTAGGAGATAAAGCACTTTGTTTATACAGTCCTAGACACACCTCCCTGTATGCAACTGGCACAGCCTTCCTAAACACTTCCTGTACAGAAAGATCTAAACTTTAATCTTACTTCCTGCACAGTCTGTTTAATTTATATTTTCTCCTGTTCTGTAAATAGCCTTTTAGACTATGATTGGGCCTCTTGCGTGTGATTAAAGTTCAATTTACAGAGCAAGAGCTAAAAACATCTAAAGCAAGTTAACATCTGATTGAAAATAAATGAAAAAATTATTTTATATATTTATTCATAAAATATTTTACCAGGAAAGATACATTGAGATTTATCTTGTTTTCAAGTATGTCCTGGGTTTTTCAAGTATGTCCTGATACATAATGCAGGTTGTGTGACCAACAGACAGAGGGGGTGTGGATAAGGCTGAATGGACTCAAACAAAAGTGATGTAACTCCTAAATGGCAGATTATTGAGTAGTGAAACTGTAGGGTCAGGATCTTTACACAAAAACTGCTTTGTTAAAGCTAGTGCCTATAATATTCCTTAAACCCTGCACAGTTTTATATTGTAGGGTTAAAAGGACAGGGACACTGCACCCAGACCACTTCATTGAGATTAAGTCTCTTTAAGGTCACAATAGCAAAACTGGAAGCATAGCAGACTTGGAGATTTTTTTTCCAGTGGCTTTTTTGACTTTAGAAATTCATTTGCAATTCACAATTCTAACTGTAGTTGAAAACAGTACAGTACCTACAATGACCTAGCACACAATGTTACAGTGCAGGGTACCCCGAACTTTAATAATTTGTATAGTGTTAGATTGATATGCCAAGTGGGCTTGATTCATTGTCCACTGTAAAAATACTGTAAATTAATGTGATATGTATTCATTGTCAATATATGGTTTACTTATGTAATGTGTGTAGTGGATGCATGGGATGGTTACCCAATATAGGTTTATTATTATTGGCATTTATATGGCACCCACTTATTTCACAGTGCTTTACAATGTTATAAGGAAGGGAATTAAACAATAAGATACAAACTTTTACAAAATTTGACAAAACAAATAATTTGCTGAGGACCCTGCTCGCATGAGAATATAACTGGTATGATTAATTACAGCATGGGGAGGGTACATTTAGCTGCCTTTAACGAAGACCCATGAGGTGAACTGTGTGTGGGAAGCAGTGGGTGAAATCTTGTTGGTGTCTGTAAAATACTGTAAAATGGTATTTCATTGAAGGCATGTTTGTAAACCAAATAGTGTAGAGAAATTTACGACTATGATACCCAATTTCCATGAGTTTTTACTACCTTCTCAGTTAAGATGCTAATTTACATACTTGCAATGTATATTGTAAGTTCAATGAAGGGTAGTTAACTGAAAACTTGGAAGCAATTTTAGATGCTATTTTGTTTTTGGGACATTATGGAATATATATCATGTTTGGTACCAAATGAAGTGTTTGAATTCACCAAGATGATTTGACCAGGTTACAAAGAGATCAGACACACCTGTACATAGATATTTAGCATTTTGCAATTTCAGCCAGGTTTTCAAGTTTATTCTCATAAAACTGGAATTCCTATAGCACTCAGCCCTTCCTTAGAGAAACCAGCCTAGAACCTGGGATGTGCATAAACGTGTATATAAAATCTTCTAAAAACCTAAGCACATGTATATGCTTTTTGAGAATCAAATCAAATTTGTAGTGAATTTTCATTATCTTGGGACAGAAAGACTGATATTTTCCTAGTACAGTGAGTATTAAATTTTTTGTAACTTTCTCTTTTTTATTTTTATATGTTGGACTATGTAAAATTTGTTTGGAACATATTTTGTATTTGTATACTCTGTAACTGTTTTTTGTTCATAATAAATGTTCATTTATTAAATACTGGCTTAATCTGATATCAGAATGAAATTAGTGAAGACACTTATGGAATAGTACGTTCATCTTTTCATCATTTCTGCAAAACTGAGTTTTGGGGGTTTTTACATTTGATTTGGTGGGGTATCCTAAGGTGCTCCATTTATAAATTGCCTTGGGAGTAGCAATTATTATAGGCGGGTGTGGTCGGAATTATCATCATATTACGTCTAGTGGAGACATGTAGCATTTTTTTATCTTTCACGCACTGAAGCAAGTCACATGATTGCCTCAGAATTCAAAGTGGTGAGGAACGTGACACTCAACACTTTAAACGAGTAATTTAAAAGTTTGAATTTTGACAGCCCTGCATCTGGATTTTGCTTGCCGGAAATCCCAGTTGGCTCCATCGAGGGCCATTCAGGGCTACTCTAAATAACTACGCTTTCAATCAATGAGGACATTCCTGTATCGGACCTGGTGAGTTCAGGGAAGACATCCTGCAGGAGAAGTCACAGGATAAGCATCCAGGTAAGTTATCAAACCATTGTAAAACAGTTTAACAAAAATAACTCGGAGAGGAAGCCAAGGCACTTCTGGCCCCATAGCCACAACAGCAAGCTGTAGTGATAATGGTGCTTGGAGTGTTCTTTAAGGTGTGAGAGGGTAAGGATAGTTCATTTTGCAAGAAGTTGTTGATTTATTTAATTTATTTATTTTTTATAGAACTATTTCTTCTCTAAAAGTGTTGGTAATTTATTGAACATTATAATGTGGTGCCAGTAAGGAGGCCACCCCAATAGTTACACAGTAGAAAATGAATACACAATACTGAATACTAAGTACAGTTTATTACAACATCCCACATAGTGGACTTGGCAACTTTTCAACACGTATGGGGCCTTTGCCAGTTCCACTCTGTTGAACATTGGAATGATCTACAGTTACAAAAAAAGCTTTGTTACTTCTGTGGAAGTACCGTTCCTCATTCTCTCACCCCACTTGAAGGTCTACCTGAGGTGAATGGTGCAGGGGAGGAAAATATAACATTACCCTCCATGGAACATCTGTATTCATGTTGCTCTCTTTAGAAATGATGTTCCAGGCATGCCTTTTGCAATATGGTTACAGTGAATGATACTTTAGACTAGTTATGGGCTTGAGAATTAGCCATAGCATGCTATTAGGCCTATGAACTTTTTGTCATGGCCATCGTATCTTATTTATTGGTGTCGAGAATACAAGTGATTTCCTACAACTTGTCAAGTACATTTTATGAGCTGGGAGAAGAGTGTAGTATGCCCTAGGTTGCTTTAAACCAGTATAACCCATTACTTACTTACAATTATTACTTAAATGATTTCTGAGGATATGGAATTGTGTTTGGCTGAGGACAAGATACATAAATTAACCACCAAGGTACAGGTAATAATGTCAAATGGTTGACAACATTAAATTGAAAGAACTTAGGAATAATTATAGACAAACTAGGCATGTATAAAAGAACACTGTAAAGCAAGGCCTCACAAACATGGTGATCCACTCTGTACCAATCTTCCACAATCAGTTAATGTTTGCAAATCATTTGTCAAGAATAACACTCCCCCTACACATGGAATTTTAAAGATGGCTTTCAATATTCCAATCACATTTCACTGTATGAGCAGACAGGTGAAGCTAGCAGATCTCCAATCTAACCTCATAACAAGATGTGAGTCCACCCTAGTCAATGGAATGCATGAACCTGGAATTCACATAGAAAAACACATTTGCTGATATGTGCCCGACCTACTTATACGTGCCAATGTAGGCATTTAAAAGCTAAGCCATCTTTATTGCTCATGGCCTATTATTGCGATCCAAGGTTTACTGAGTCATCTTGTGTCACTGACAGCCATCATTAAACCCTCCTTGATCTAATGTCCAGACCAACCAGTTTAATGTTTTATTAAAATACAATATTTCTTCTCGTTAATGTGTCAAATGGTTCCCAACATCTCAATAAAAAACATTAAGCTTAAAACCATTACATTTTGGAGAAGTATCTTCCTCTAGTTTTCAGTATTCTTACGTTTGCAAGTTGGTGTTCCAGTAGTCCATGAGGTATGGTTCCCTTTCCAAACACAGGTTGTCATTCCATGTCCTACTAATTCAAGCCTTGGGGAACACTGGAACATTATGACCGTCCCAACAGAAGAACCATTGCCGTGTACTACATGCAACGAGCCTGACTCGGGGGGCAGAATATTCTTACATTGTCCTAAGAGGAAGCAAAGAGGAGGTAAGATGGACACAAATCAAAACTAATCAATAACAAATGAAGGCAGCATAGGCAGACCACAATATGAGGTTATCTCTGTGTGATGCAGTTTTGTGCTTGACTGAGCAGAAAGTGTCCGTACAGCAATCTGGAAAATTGGCTGAAAGTTTTCCTGCTGAAAAACGTGTAGTGCATTGCAATCTGGGGACTCGGAAACTTAACCAGGTTTTCACTCCAAATGGAACCATAACAAACATAGATTGCTTTAGCTCTCTGTTATGTTCTGTTGAATATGCAAATGTGCGACAACAAGGGAAAAATTATAAAATTAGTGTGCTGTGCCATCGCAATGATACTACACCAGGTATAGTCTCAGAATCAGTACATAATAAGCCTGTTATTTTTTTTTTTAGCTGAATATTTGAATTGTGTTCCCCCTGTAGCATTGAATGGACTAATTCACAATACACTGACAGTAACAAGTAATCTTTCATTTATAACCAGTGCAAATTTTGCCACAAGGCAAACAAGGCATTTGCCTAGGGCGGCACTTTCCAGGCAAATACCTTGTTAGGCAGGCGGCTAGCTGACATCATATTCCGGCTCCCGGCATCACTCTGCGGTACAACCGCCTGGACCTCAACTGGATGCCCGACTGCCAGCCTCCCTCATTGCACAAACAGCCCGACCAGCAGCCCCACTGGACCCCAGGTAAAAATTCCACCCAGCTTTCCCAAAGGTAGGGAGGCTGGGTGGATTTAAATTAAAAAATAATCTGTGAGTGTTGGGGGGGAGGGGGAATGTGTGTGTGTGTGTGTGTGTGTGTGTGTGTCTGGCTGTCTGTCAGTATGTGTGTGTGTCTGGCTGTCAGTGTGTGTGTACAGGGAGTGCAGAATTATTAGGCAAGTTGTATTTTTGAGGATTAATTTTATTATTGAACAACAACCATGTTCTCAATGAACCCAAAAAACTAATTAATATCAAAGCTGAATATTTTTGGAAGTAGTTTTTAGTTTGTTTTTAGTTTAGCTATGTTAGGGGGATATCTGTGTGTGCAGGTGACTATTACTGTGCATAATTATTAGGCAACTTAACAAAAAACAAATATATACCCATTTCAATTATTTATTATTACCAGTGAAACCAATATAACATCTCAACATTCACAAATATACATTTCTGACATTCAAAACAAAACAAAAACAAATCAGTGACCAATATAGCCACCTTTCTTTGCAAGGGCACTCAAAAGCCTGCCATCCATGGATTCTGTCAGTGTTTGATCTGTTCACCATCAACATTGCGTGCAGCAGCAACCACAGCCTCCCAGACACTGTTCAGAGAGGTGTACTGTTTTCCCTCCTTGTAAATCTCACATTTGATGATGGACCACAGGTTCTAAATGGGGTTCAGATCAGGTGAACAAGGAGGCCATGTCATTAGATTTTCTTCTTTTATACCCTTTCTTGCCAGCCACGCTGTGGAGTACTTGGACGCGTGTGATGGAGCATTGTCCTGCATGAAAATCATGTATTTCTTGAAGGATGCAGACTTCTTCCTGTTCCACTGCTTGAAGAAGGTGTCTTCCAGGAACTAGCAGTAGGACTGGGAGTTGAGCTTGACTCCATCCTCAACCCGAAAAGGCCCCACAAGCTCATCTTTGATGATACCAGCCCAAACCAGTACTCCACCTCCACCTTGCTAGCGTCTGAGTCGGACTGGAGCTCTCTGCCCTTTACCAATCCAGCCATGGGCCCATCCATCTGGCCCATCAAGACTCACTCTCATTTCATCAGTCCATAAAACCTTAGAAAAATCAGTCTTGAGATTTTTCTTGGCCCAGTCTTGACGTTTCAGCTTGTGTGTCTTGTTCAGTGGTGGTCATCTTTCAGCCTTTCTTACCTTGGCCATGTCTCTGAGTATTGCACACCTTGTGCTTTTGGGCACTCCAGTGATGTTACAGCTCTGAAATATGGCCAAACTGGTGGCAAGTGGCATCGTGGCAGCTGCACGCTTGACTTTTCTCAGTTCATGGGCAGTTATTTTGCGCCTTGGTTTTTCCACACGCTTCTTGCGACCCTGTTGACTATTTTGAATGAAACGCTTGATTGTTCGATGATCACGCTTCAGAAGCTTTGCAATTTTAAGAGTGCTGCATCCCTCTGCAAGATATCTCACTATTTTTGACTTTTCTGAGCCTGTCAAGTCCTTCTTTTGACCCATTTTGCCAAAGGAAAGGAAGTTGCCTAATAATTATTCACACCTGATATAGGGTGTTGATGTCATTAGACCACACCCCTTCTCATTACAGAGATGCACATCACCTAATATGCTTAATTGGTAGTGGGCTTTCGAGCCTATACAGCTTGGAGTAAGACAACATGCATAAAGAGGATGATGTGGTCAAAATACTCATTTGCCTAATAATTCTGCACTCCCTGTATGTCTGTCAGTGTGTGCCTGTGAGTGAGTGTGTATGTCTGTCAGTGAGTGTCTGTGAGGGAGCCTGTGTGCCCGAGTAATTGTGTGTGTCTGTCAGTGAATGTGTATGTGTGTGTCTGAATGATTGTGTGTGTCTGTCTGTCAGTGAATGTGTATGTCTGAGTGATTGTGTATGTGTCTGTGAGTAGTGAGTGGGTGTGTCTGCATCATTATGTGTGTATGTCAGTGATTGTGTGTGTCTGTAAGTGTGTGTCTGTGAGTGAGTCAGTAATGTAAGAAACTACTGTGAAGTGTTCTGCTATTGCTATCCTCTGAATCACCTCCTGTTCATATACTTTTAGCCAGCAGGAGAAGTTCTGCTCTTGTCCTGGCACAAATCTCATCGGGTGATTCCCTGATGGGCGATACAACCCATTTGCATCATGGGTCAATGGAAATGTGAACATTGCAAATATTCTCGATTTCGTATTTATGATTTTAAACTTTCTGTGACTAAGGCTTTTAGCCTGTTTTTAATAGAGACCCAAATTATGAACAAGGAAGTATGGGCTCAATTTAATATTTTTGGATACAATTCCTTTTTTTTGGATAAACTTTTAAAAAATATATATATTTTTAAATATTTCAATTTTTTTTTATATATATATATATATGATATATATCTCGATGTTTTAATACTTTGAAATAATCATTTAAAAAGGTTTTCCAAAAATATTAAATAATTCGAAAAGCATTTCCAAAAATATAAAATCGAGGACTATATGGTGATCTATTATAAAATGTAGAATTAGCTACCATAAACGATTTATTGTAGGAAATTACCTGGGACCTAATGTAAATAATATACCTGTTTCAACTATTGGGAGGTGACTAAAATAGCATGGGTACTTGAGTTTGTGCCTTGATCCATGGGTTAAAAAATCACAAACCGAGGGGCGTGGCCTGACCGGGTATGGAGTGAGACGCATCTCCCTGCAGCTCCTAGGCCCCAGCTCACTACCGCACCGATCCACTGGCACGAATTGACCCGGGATGGGTAAAACTAAAAGGCTACTCACCCCTGGCCCCTCACAAACGGGCTCGCCGGGTCGCACCGCGGGACCCATGGATGGATACCTCGGAACGCCGCGAGACACGCGGGCGCACCAGGCCGCGGCCAAAATGGCGCCGACCTCGCCGGACGCGAGTAGCACTGACAGCCCAGCAATAGGCCCAGCCAGAGAGGAGTCACTGACCCAAATTGCAGCAGACTTGGCCACAATATCAGCAAACATGATGTCCCGTGCGGACTAAACAGAACTGCTGGCTGAAATAAGAACGGTTATCAGAGAGGAGGTCATGGAGGTAAGGAGAGACCTGACAGCACTGGAACGCAGGGTGGAGGAATTAGAGGCAGAACGAGCCCAAATCATACAACACCGCCAAGCCACTGAAACAGCCACCACTAGACAAGGCAATGTCTTGTTGGAGCTAAGGAGGAATCTGGAAGATTTGGACAACCGCGGACGGAGGAACAACATCCGCATAAGGGGACTCCCTGAATCCGCAGGGGAAGAACTACCAGAGCTCCTGCTGGGCCTGTTCACCCACATACTAGGGGACAGAGACCCGGCAGACTTTGGAATTGAGTTGCACACAGAGCCCTGCGCCCCGTGACCGCTGAGGGGCAGCATAGAGATGTAATCTGCTACCTGCTCTCCTACTCGTTAAAAGACGAAATCATGAGAGAAGCAAGAAGTCGGCAGAACCTCACCTACATGGATGCCCCGATTTCCCTATATCAGGATCTCTCAGTGCTCACCTTGGAAGCGAGAAGGGCATTAAGACCGCTAACCACCCTACTCAGAGATCGGCGGATACAATATAAATGGGGATTCCCCTTTAGCTTGCAGGCTAAGGTGGGCAATATATGGCATATCATACGCTGGCCAGCAGACGTCCCGCGCTTTCTACAAGCCGTGAGCCTCCCAGCCGTGACAGTCTCAAATTGGGTCCTAGAGAGACAGCCCCAACACCCAAATGCTCCAAACACAAGGTCGGGTACGGGCCTTACAGGGGCAGGGTTCCGCCGGGGCGGCCCGGACAGCCACGAGGAATAACGGTCTCAGGAGCCCAGGAGGGCGGTGCCTGGTGCACCCACCGACGGCTGAACTCCCCAGTTTTTGCACCCCCATTTTGACCCAGAAACCGCGTCACAGTGAGACAGACTACCGGACTGCTCCCCCAGGGGAGAAGCACCCTTCATAAGCAGCGAGAATCACACAACTTCGGAGAAGTTAACACACTGTTGGGTATGTACTTGCACCCCTGTCCCGGGCCCGTAGCATTTAAGAACTAGCCAGTGTCACCGGGAATTGAGACAATGGGCTGCCACATATTTGGGGTGGTGGGATTTGATGGGAACGGGTGACACCCGGGGAAGATAAGGATAAAGGAGGGGGATACCCCATGTCTTGAAGGACTCGGACTCACCGCCCACAGAATCCCCCCTTTGGGTGGTTGGGATATGGGGGAAGCATTAGCGGACACCAACTACCCGAGCTGCTTCCCAAGATAAAGTCTGGACAGACCCATACTCGCCCAGAGGGTCCCACGAATCAAGCATCGTCCAATCCCGGAAGGGGTTAGCAAGCCAGCTAGCGGGATAGGACAACACATTCCCCGGCTGAAACCGGGAGCAGGGGGGAGGGGTGCGTTCCCTGGGGGAGAGGGGAGAGGGGAATGTTAACAGCGGTGGACTGGTCTGTAATGTTGTTATTGTTATTAACGTTGATGAAGTTCACAAGTTTCGCACCACACCTAGATATTCACACACCTACACAAGGGGTGGGAAACACACCTGAGCTCATGGAGCTGGGGGGCTTGGCCGGGGTGGGAGCACACGAGGAGGCCGGACCCTTATGGCAGCAGCGGGGCCCAAATACCAACTAGACACGCATTTATCAGACCCTTAGGAACAGAGAGGCAATTGGATGGTGAGGAGGCGGCACCCTCATACTTCTTCTCCATACCCGTAGGGCAAATTCCAATTAAACAAGACTAGTGGGCTGGGTGCCGTGAGAGCAGTGCGATTCATACGACGGTTTACCCCAGAACGGACGACCCACGTACCCCACGTGACTGACTCACACTGTACAAATCCTCGGAGGCTACTCTGGTGACATACCCCGAAGGGACTAGACACCGGTGGGCGACTGACTCCGAGGCGAGTCATAGTTACCTTCTACCCAGACTTACACCCCCTCCCTGACATTGACCCGACTTCTCTCCTCTCCCCCCCCGAACCTTACCCCTGCGATACTTTGACACACCCATACCCTGCCCCACGAGCAGGCAGGGATGGGCTCTAACTATGTACCGGCACCACTCACTCTGTGGTCGAACAACGTCAGAGGCCTAAACGTACCCGAGAAGCGGTCTCAGTTACTCCGTACCCTCTGGGCGGAATGCATCTCGGTGGCGTTTTTGCAGGAAACGCATCTTAAAGGTGCGGAGGCCCCCACCCTGAAAAACGGAAGGTACCCCACAGGATATTACTCTAACCACACTGACCAAAAAAAAGCTGGGGTGGCGATCCTCTTTTGCACAGAGCAACGAACAGATCCAGGAGGTAGATACCTATTTATCAAAGGGACCATAGCGCAACGCCCTTACACATTCGCCTGCCTGTATTCCCCGAATCGTAACCAACATGACTTCCTGAATAAAACACTTACGTTGCTCAAAAAGTTCAGAGAGGGCCTATTACTTATGGCAGGAGATCTCAACACACCGCTAGACGCTAGACTGGACACCTCTAGGGGAGAAAGCTCAAAGCCAGGTCATTGCACACGCGCCGTCGGGAGAGCACTGACAAGGAGTGGATTAGTGGATTGCTGGAGGGCGGCGCACCCTGACGGCAGGGACTATTCCTATTACTCGGCTGTGCATCAGCGATACAGTCGGATTGACTATATCTTCATGGCACAGGAAGCCCTACCACTACTCTGAAAGGCAAGCATAGGCCTGATTGCGGAGTCAGATCACGCCCCGGTCTCAGTCCAGATTCAATCCCCATTACACAAACCAGCGGAAAGGCACTGGAAGCTAAATGAGAATATGCTGCTTAACCTGGGAGACACGGACCCAGTCAGGCAAGCATTAAAGGACCACTCTAGGCACCCAGACCACTTCAGCTTAATGAAGTGGTCTGGGTGCATGGTCCAGCTAGGGTTAACCCATTTTTTTCATAATTATAGCAGTTTCAGAGAAACTGCTATAATTATGAATGGGTTAAGCCTTCCCCCAAAGCCTCTAGTGGCTGTCTCATTGACAGCCACTAGCTTGCGCTTCTCACTGTGATTTCACAGTGAGAGCACAGCGTCATAGAAAACATTGTAAATGCTTTCCTATGCGACGGCTGAATGCGCGCAGCTCTTGCCGCTGCGCGCATTCAGCCGGGCGGGCGAACGGAGGCGGAGAGGAGGAGGAGAGCTCCTCCAGCTTGGAAAAGGTAAGTTATTACCCCTTTCCCCCTTCCAGAACCGGGCGGGAGGGGGTCCCTGAGGGTGGGGGCACCCTCAGGGCACTATAGTGCCAGGAAAACGAGTATGTTTTCCTGGCACTATAGTGGTCCTTTAACACAATACTTTGACGCCAACACAACCCCCGACATATCGCCCCTGACGGTGTGGGAAGCACATAAATGTGTCGTACGGGGACACTATATTAAGGTCTGTTCGCAACGGAAAAAAGAACATACACGACAACTGACAACACTAAACGCACAAATTGCCAACTTAGAGCAAGCTCACAAGCAGAGTCAGGATGAGGACACGTTCCTCCAACTAACTGCGCTCCGAAGGCAGAGAAGAGACATATTAGCTCAGGGTCTTCTATGCATCCTTAGAAAATCGGCCCGGTTCTTTTTTGAACACTCGGACAAAAGCAGCAGGCTGCTAGCCCGCCAGCTCCAAGACCGTCGGATGGCGAGCCACATACACAAAATTAGGCACAGTGATAAAGCTGAAACGCGGCTGCCGGACGGAATTCAGCGGGCGTTCGTAGACTACTACACGGACCTATACAACATCCCCCAACCCAATACTGACGCATCCCGCACACGACATACCCACCAAATCACTGAATTCCTGGAACAAAATATAGATAAGAAGCTGACCGCTGAAATGCGAGACGACCTAGACCGACCCCTTTCGGTGGAGGAGCTGGCGGCGGCCGTGAAAATCTCCAAAACCCACAAGGCCCCAGGGCCAGACGGCCTGCCTCTGATGTACTTGCGTACGTTCAAGGACATCTTATTACCGAACCTCTTACGGGGCCTCAACTCCATACTGGAGGGGGGCCGCTTCCCCTCGGATACGTTAGCAGCCATAGTTACTGTAATACCTAAAGAGGACAAGGACCCGACGAACTGTGCGAGCTACCGCCCCATATCGCTGCTAAACGCAGACCTGAAACTATTCGCAAAAGCCATTGCCCTGAGAGTTGCAAAACACCTCCCCCACTTGGTACACTCGGATCAGGTTGGGTTTATCCCGGGCAGGGAAGGCACTGAACATCCTACACATAGCACGGACGCGTCGTAGGGAACTTCTACTACTTTCCTCCGATGCCGAAAAGGCTTTTGACCGGGTGGACTGGTCATATCTGGGGAGCACCCTCACACACATGGGATTCGGCCCCAACATGCTGTCCTGGGTGCTCTCACTGTACACGAGCCCCACCGCGAGGATCTGCATTAACGGGGCACTGTCAGCCCCTTTCACAATCAGGAATGGCACCCGCCAGGGATGCCCGCTTTCCCCCCTCCTGTTTGCCCTCTCCCTGGAACCATTCTTGGGGGCGGTCAGACGGAATGGGCGAATCTCTGGATTCCGCCTCGGTCGCAGCGAATACCGAGTAGCCGCATATGCAGACGACATGCTGTTCTTTCTTACTCAGCCGTTGATCTCGCTGCCCAACCTTCTTGCATCTTTCCGGGAGTTTGGGGCAATCTCTAATCTTAAACTCAATATGGATAAGTCTGAGGCCTTCCACCTCCCGCCCCCTGCAGGCCCCCCAACGCACCTTTACTCCCAATATAGGCTCAAATGGTGCGATATCAAATTAAAATACTTGGGCATATGGCTGGCCAAGGACCCGTCCCAATTATACCACCATAACTATCACCCACTCCTACACTCACTTCAGACAGACCTTAAGAAATGGACCCCATATTACGTCTCCTGCTTCGGACGTATCAATGCGGTTAAAATGAACGTGTTACCCAGGATACTCTACCTATTCCAAACAGTGCCAATTACTTTGCCCAGAGCCTTTTTCAGCTCCATGACGACCGCCATACGCAGATTCGTATGGAACTCCCGCCCATCCCGAACAAAAAAATCAACCCTGGAACTGCCAAAACTGTTGGGGGGCACGGGACTGCCCTCCATAGAGACGTATTACCGCGCCGCACACCTGCATAGACTGACGGACTGGCATGCACAACACCCATTAAAACAATGAGTGACCCTGGAACTGGATCAAACGGACAGAAAAATACCCTCCAGGCTTTGGTTACATACCGCCACATATACTGACCTACACACCAAGAACCCCCTAATCGACGCCACGCTCCGAGTGTGGATGGCTATACGCTATCGACTGCAACTCACCAGCTCTCCCAGCCCTTTAACACCCATCACATATAACCCGGACCTGGCCGATGCCCTATCCCCACAAGACCTAGCCGGCCTCCAGCAGGCAGACTGGATGTACCTACACCAATGGCTCGACACTCAGGGACTTAAACCACTCGGAAACCTCTGCCCCGATAGACCACCGACGTTACTCGAACAATTCAGATACCACCAAGTTAAGACGTACTTCCTATCCTTACATGGTCGAGGGCATCTGATTAGACCCCTCACCAGCTTTGAACACCTGTGAGTACACCGAACACACATACACAGGGGTATCTCCACCATACATACCATACTCAAGACCCAAACTAGTGAGGATGTGGTGCTCAAATTTAAGGACCACTGGGAGAGAGACTCGGGGGAAGTCCTTACCGCGCAGGATTGGGACAAGATCTACACCCTCACACATAAATGCTCTATCAGCTCAAAGTACCAGGAGCTGAATTACAAAATTTTAACCCGCTGGTACAGAACCCCTGACATACTTAATCGCATGAACGAGAGTGCCCCGAACACCTGCTGGAGATGCGGCATGCCCACCGGCTCGTACTTCCACATCTGGTGGACGTGCCCCGAGATCACCACATACTGGGAGAGGATCAGGGTAGAGATAAACAGAATCACAGGAGCGGAGCTACCCCTAGAACCCCTAACGATGTTATTACACCACACCCCCACACCCATCAAGGCGTACAAGAAATCCCTCACGTTGCCACTGCTCAACACAGCAAAGGCCCTTATCCCGGCAATGTGGAAACAGAGGGGGGCGCCTACCCTCCAGCAATGGGTGACAAAGGTGGAAGATATCCACTCAATGGAATCCCTAACTGCAGACCTCCATGGTAGGCAGGAGCAGTGTGCACTGACTTGGTACCCTTGGGCAACATACCTAGCCAACAGATCAGCAAACCCAAGCATGGCTCCCCAGAGGCCCGCAGAAAGCCGACTCATACAGAGCTAAGCTACCCATCTACCCCTATTCCCTGTGTCTCCTACCTCCCGCCCCCTTTCCATGACTGGACACCGGACCGAACCCCGAACGACTGACGCAACAGGGGCATATTTATATACACACTCATTGTAAGCACAGGAGCAGAACACACAGGGACTCGAGACCAAATATAATGTTGATACCGGCATGATAACATACCGCCTGACTACCTTGACTGGTACCCAGCGTACCCTCCCATATGCCGAGCTATACCGATAAGCATACAAATATATTCACTGACAACTGCCTACCCACAGTAGAGGAAAACTTTATCTAAAACACCACACTTGGCTCTCACCCAAGTGATCTGATGGCCTGATTGTAAATAATTGCTTGTAGACTTTGGAGGTGTAAAGACACTAAATGTTTTTTCGCTACTGTAGCTCTATGTCATGCTCAACAATATATTTGTCAAGCGATAAAAGGGAACATGATGACTGTAACATAGTACCACCAAAATGCTAACACAATGCCAGACAACCCTGTCTGACATCCAGTGGGTTCTCACAAGGGATCAGACATAATTCCTCTCCTCCCATCATTTCAAAGTATAAGTACCTGACTACAGGAGTGTAAAAATTTCGTTTGTATACTGACAGTTGAGATGTAATAACGCAAAAAAAAAAAAATGTTCTTCGACATTGTTGTTTTCAAACGTGAAATGGAAAATAAAGATTGTCAAAAAAAAAAAATAATCACTATCCATGTAATGTATGTGTATGTATGTTTGTTGTTTTTGTTTTTTTTTACATTTAGAATACATAGAAACTAACAAAATAATTTTGTTTTATGTTTGTCCTATTCTGTCTTGTGTTTTAAATTTTATGTATGTAAATTTATATAAGAAATAAAAAAATCACTATGCTACACAATGATTCTTCCAAAAAAATCATTTGCAATGAAAAGCAATGCTTTAATGTAGAACATGCCTTTTTAGCAAACAGTAACCTTTGCTCGGTCATACCACTTTGTAATATAAAACTCTCGATGGGCTGTCTCGACTGTAAAATATAACCTCTGCTTAAGAGAGGCATACATTACGTTGGAAATGAATGTGCGGAGGAGAATTTTTATACCAAAGTAAATTAGGAAAACATATGTTTATAAATGACTTTGGCATTGTGTATCATTAGCTTTCCCAACAAACCAGCTAGAATCCTTTGGCCGCATGTAGACAAAATCATATTCTTGAACAGGCAGCCTGGCTCAAGAATGAGTTTATTAGTACAGAGAGAAATTAATTAAGGGCCAACATGATTTTCTATAAATCATACAGTCCATCTTTAATCCATATAGAGTTGGAAACAATAGAACACATAATGTTTTAAGTCCTAAATAACAGTAAGAGAAACATCTTTAAAATAGAGAAGATCTTCAGGAAACAGGAAGATGATTGGCAGCCTCTTCCTTTTAAATTATGCCTTATATGTGATATTCTGTTAACGGATTCAATTCATTTTCTTTCCCGTCACGGTAGCAGCATCTCCTGCTATATTGTCCCAGAGTTATATTTTGTACAAAGTAAACAAAAACAAAACAATTATTTGTTGCACTAATATTAATCAACCCACCCATTGGTGTACAACTCTCACCTTTTCTATTACACTGTGAGACATGATTTTATCCCCCAAAAAGGTGAGAGTCTGAAGGCCCGTAGATGATGAGGTGGAAGTTTTAATTAGTATTTCTTATATACTTTGCTATTGTTGTTCCCTCTACCCACAGGCCCATAGATGATGGTCTGTAGATGATGAGGTGGGAGTTTTATTCATATCTTTTTTATATACTGTTCTACTGTAGGTCCCTCTCATACAATAATTGGAAATTGATAGAAGCATCGTTTTGGGGTGAAAATGGGTTATATGTGTCCCCAGCTTAGGTGAGAGTTATAGATATTGGGGATACGGTGAATGACACCACCTGATAACAACATACTGCACAATTGGAAGCTTTTCCTTTTGCTTACAGATTTGTTACCATCTGCTATGGGTTTTACATATACATCAATTGACTGAAAGTACAACAGAGAGAGTGGCATTGGATTTTATCAGTACTGCTTGGTACATGAGCTTACTCATTGTGTTTTTAATAGACTGAAGTCAACAAAAAGCTGTTTTCTGTCTCAAACCATGCGCATAACTGGCTAGCATCCCCGGTCAAGCTTAGTGCAGGTTTGCAAACTGTCTACTCGACTTATGGAACTCTGCATCTGTGTGGATTATGGAACCACAGCAAAGCATCCATCTGTCCAGCTTACTGGACCTCTGCAAAACACCCTCCTACCGATTTTACTGTACCTCTGCAAAATATCTGTCTGTCGGGTTTATGACAACTTAGCAAAAAATTTGGTTTACTGTACCTCTACAAAACCACCATCTGCTTGCACTGCTATATTTTAGCTAAACATCCACATGCAATGCTAGTAGTTCTTTAGAACATCAACCTGCCCAGCTTACTGAAATTCATTAAAATATCCATCTGCTTGGCTTAATATACCTCTGCAAAACATCCCTCTGCTAAATTTACTATACCTCTGTAAAATGTCGTATTCAGCAAGAAAATGTATCTGGATCATTGTACCTTGGGAAAACATACCTTTTGCTTTTCTTAAAATATGAGTATGATCAATTAACTATATCTCTGGATAAAATGCTCTGTTTGCTTACTTTACATTGGCCAATCAAATCTCTGCCAAACTTTCTGGCTGTCTATGAATTATTTGTCCGCCAACTTGCTGTAGCATGGCAAAACATCCACTTGGCCTACTATACCTTGCGTAAAAACATCTATCTGCCCAGGTTACTGTACTTCTACAAAACATCTGACTTCCTGTACTTCACCTGGTTTTCTGAATCTGTGCAAAACAAATGTGTTTGCTTGTCTGCTGTACTTCTGTAAAACATGTCTACCTTGCTTACTGTACCTCTTTATTTTGTCAATAATGGTGCACATTCAATTCGAGTAAATGCGATATGCATATACAGTTGTAATCAAACATATTCAACCTCCATTGAAAATCAGTTGTATTGTCAACATTTACAGACTTTCAGTTGTTTGCAATAAACAATTCAAACAAAAGATATTGAAATAGCTCAACGCAGCAAATGCTTCATGTGGATTCTCCAAATTCAACTGAAAATGCAACTCATAATGACGACTCCAGTCTCAAAATTATTCAACCTTCTTTTTTTTTTTTTTATTCTTTTTTTTTGCATGACATTCCATAAAATTGCAGTAATGGTACAATAGTTAGTGCGCATCATAAAAACAAGGTATGTGCATGTTCAAGGTAAGTACACAGAGTAGTACAGCATCAAAAAACTCTAAGGTAAATGCAGATAACCATTACATTTTAAATTTACAAGGTAGGAGTCATGGTTTATGTTATTTTAAACATCAGTATAAACATAAAAGCAACATGTGAACACATCCAGAAACCAACAATATCTGTGACTCTTCTATCACGATATAGTAAACATCTGCGTGTTTGCTTATTGAGGTTGCCACTTGTCCCACCTCGATTCGTAGTTGTCCTAAGGCATAGAGGATAGTGAGAGAAGAAGAAAGCATAGAAAGATAGTTGTAGAGGGGTTGTTTGGTCACAGTATAAGTTGTGTGGCACGTGCAGAGGACGGGGGGAGGGGGGTAATAAGAGCAGCGGGAGTGCTCGGTGGCCATGCAGAGGGGTCGCCCATACACTACACCATGAGAATTCGATTAGCTTAAGCGATTCTATGTCTACTCACTGCCTGTCCTCTAAGAGAGAGTGCCACATCGCGATTTGCATTAGCTGAGGCGCTAAATAATAAAAATGTAAATTGGATAGGCCTAATCCTCTGCGCGTTTTCGGTTGGTACAATATATGTCTCAATATCCATATAAATGTACCGATTGCTCTTTGCAAAGGTGAGAGATGTGCTTTGGAAATGTGGATAGGTAATGCCTGGAGCAGGAAAATAATTTGTGGCAGGACCTTAATTTTTACCGAGTGGATCCTGCCTATGCACGATATGGGTGTATCAGTCCACATTTCCATGTCTCATATTAGTGCTTTCATTTTCCGGGTCCGCTGTCAATTGAATCCCTAAGTACTTGGTAGAGTGTTGTGCCATTCGCATGTTATTGGTATCTTGTATCAGTGCCATGTCTGCCGCAGACACTAATACTGGTAGGGCATTAGATTTAGACAGTTTGCCTTATATCCTGAGATTGTACCATAGTCCTGTAGGACCTGTCTTAAAGCTGACATACTCCTTTGGGTTTGTAAGCATTAAGAGCACATCATACATAGAGCGTACACCGATACTAAGAATTCCCTGCCTCCCACCCGAACCTCCTGTATGTTTGGATGTTTGCGCATCAAAATTATTCAACCTTCTGAATAGAATACCTCACAAAAGCACACATATGCAAAACAGGTGCTGTCTCAATCACATCTAATGCAACTAATTAAAGGCTTCATTAGCTGCACCAGATGCGCTTTAACTGGAACACATGAAATACCTGACCCATAGACGTGCGCAGCCTATTGCATAAGTGTACCCTAAAGCACAAACACACATGCCACATATATATATATACACACAAATACACTGCTGTGTGTGTGTGTGTCAGGGTGCTGTGTGTAGGGAGAGGTATTAGCAGTAGAAAGAGGGAAGTGCTCATGCCATTATACAGAACACTGGTGAGACCTCACTTGGAGTATTGTACACAGTATTGGAGACCGTATCTTCAGAAGGATATTGATACCTTAGAGAGGGGTCAGAGAAGGGCTACTAAACTGGTTCATGGATTGCGGGATAAAACTTACCAGGAAAGGTTAAGGATCTTAACATGTATAGCTTGGAGGAAAGACGAGACGGGGGGATATGATAGAAACATTTAAATATATAAAGGGAATCAACACAGTAAAGGAGGAGACTATATTTAAAAGAAGAAAAACTACCACAACAAGAGGACATAGTCTTAAATTAGAGGGACAAAGGTTTAAAAATAATATCAGGAAGTATTACTTTACTGAGAGGGTAGTGGATGCATGGAATAGCCTTCCAGCTGAAGTGGTAGAGGTTAACACAGTAAAGGAGTTTAAGCATGCATGGGATAGGCATAAGGCTATCCTAACCATAAGATAAGGCTAGGGACTAATGAAAGTTTTTAGAAAATTGGGCAGACTAGATGGGCCGAATGGTTCTTATCTGCCGTCACATTCTATGTTTCTATGTTTCTATGTTTCTATGTGTGGGCGCTGTGTGTGGGCTCTGTGTGTGTGTGTGTGAGGGCGCTGTGTGAGTATAAAGGTGCTGTGTGTGTTTGTGAGGGTGGTGTGTGTGTAAGAGTGCTGTGTGTGTGAGTGTGTAAGGGTGCTGTGTGTGAGGGTGCTGTGTGTGTAAGGGTGCTGTGTGTGTAAGGGTGCTCTGTGTGTGTGTGATGTTAGTGTGTGTGTGTGTGCTGTGTGTGTATGTGCAAGGGTGCTGTGTGTGTAAGGGTGCTGTGTGTGTGAGGGTGCTGTTAGTGTGAGGGTGCTGTTTTTGTGTGTGCTGTGTGTGTATATGTAAGGGTGATATATGTGTGAGGGTGCTGTTAGTGTGTGTGTGTGTGCTGTGTGTGTGTGTGAGGATGCTGTATGTGTGTGGGTGCTGTTTGTGTGTGGGTGCTGTGTATGAGGGTGCTGTTTGTGTGTATTTGTTTGGAGGGACTGTGGGGATGAGGGGACCATTTAGGAAATAGCCCCCCTCCCTTCTTAACTTTTGTAGGGAGGGGGGATCGTGCTGCTGCCATCCCTGTTGGTCCAGTGGTGAGTGTACTCTAGCCTGCTGGCTAGAGCTCCCCGGGTCCTCTCCTGCCTCCCTCTCTGCCTGTGGGCCAGTGAGAGAGATCTTTGATCTCCCTCACCTGCCCATGGAGGCACATAATGCGGAAAACAATTCCTATAAATCCCTGCTGCACAATCCCTTATAACATAATACAGCATTTGAAAGATGCTGGGGTAGCAGTGTCAGAGGGGGAGAGCCATGTTTCCGTTAAGGCTAGTAAATCTACTGAACGAGAGATGAAGAGGTCGTGGACAGTAGTGGATTTTGTAATATTGCAAACAGATCGGGCCCCATGCGCACGCTTATGACCTGACCTGGCTAGGGGATAGTTGAGTGTCACGTTTGACTGCATGTTAGAAATATGGCTAAGTCAAAAGAATGGTTTACAAAGTTAAGATGGAGACTTTGATTTATCAGGAAATATTAGGAGAAAACGCCATGCCATCTGTGAGGGAGCTGAAGCTTTAGAGTCATTGGACCTTCCAAGAAGACAATGATCCCAAGTATACCTCAAATTCCACCAAGGCTTGGTTGCAGAAGAAGTCCTGGAAAATTCTACAGTGATCATCACAGTGAATAGACAAACCCCATGGAAAATATCTGATGGGATTTGAAGAAGGCAGTTGCACCACGCAAACCAAAAATATTACTGAACTGGAGGCCATTGCTTATGAGTAATCTGCTATGATTCCTCAGGGATGCTGCCAGAAGCTGGTGTCTAGCTATGCTATACATCTCGTTTGCAGCAGGTCATAAGAGCAAAAGGGTGCTCTACTTAGTACTAAAGATGCTTGCCATGAATGAGTTGGATAATTTTGAGACTGGAAAAGTCATTCATTATAAGTTACATTTTCAGCTGAATTTGGGAAAACCACTGGAAGCATTCGTTGTGTTGAGCTATTTCAATTTTCAATGGAGGTTCAATAATTTTGATTACAACTTTATATACATACACATCCTTTCTTGGTTTCATATGTAAATATATTTTGGATGCCAGGTCAACTCCTTTGGTTTTGCATTCCTCCCTTTTGCAGGAGCCTCATTTCAGGAGTGTTCCGTAAGTGTGCTGGATGTATAATATACCATTTAGGTGCTCATTAAACTTCTCATACCTAGATGCAATGAGATTCCAACATATTCACAAGATGTAAGTTTGAATTACTTTGTCACATGTACATGCAGATTTGGATCAAAATGACAAGGCAAACAATAGAGCTAGGAGCACCTTCTATCGCTACACCTTGCCATTTCCCATCAACTGGCACTTGCCATGTCCCATCAGCCTCTTTCCAGACATGTCAAAAACGACCACACAAGTGACACTGCCACTTTAGCTATATTAGTAAAATGCTTTAGAGAACTTTATCATGGACAAAAGTTAATAACTATGAATTTATGTCTATCAAGACAAGAGGACTGACAAGCCAGCAATGATAGATGTGTTGCCTTAGACGTGCAAACCATGATTGACAGGGTTGATGGTTGAGGAAAACTGTTCTTGCAATTTGAGTAATTTTGGATAAAGATACTTGATAAAACTGAGTCATTTTGGCTATGGATGGTACAACTGCACCTACAAGGTTAAATACAAATATGCCATGTATGTATTGTATATTGTCTAGTTTTATTTTTTATTTTCCGTTTTCATTATAATAATTTAGATACATTTTATGCTCTAGTGGTAATGATTCCATGGAATTTAGTTTTATATTGAAATTTAGTTTTATATTGTTGCTATCATTCTATCTATAGTTCTGTGCGTGTCTATGTATATTGTGTTTGTAGAGGGGTCAATATTGCTCTTGAAAACAGGTCTTATAATCCGATCTAAAATGTCCCTTGTTGTCTTAGCCATGTATAAACATTTTAGCAAGCTCTGTGAGTTTCTCTAGCTCATTCTATACCAACTGGTACATCATCATACTCATCATCATGCCAATGCAATTGCCCACAATGTCTTGTTTACTTTAAGAGTACTGATTTTTCATCCCCTTTGACTGGGGAGAGTATAATGGATGTGTTTTGCTAAATTTATTTTAATCTGAGAAATATGTTGCTGAATTAGTTTTGCAATTGAAGAGTGGATAGCCAAGCTAATGGCAGGTACATCATTTTGGTATCAAACAAAAATAGCCACTGATCTTAACAGTGCCAATTCTAATTAATATACCCACATAATCATAAAGAAGGAAAATCATGCGTGGAGTTCAAAAACACATATACACAGAGCATGTGCACACATACAAATATACAATTTGCATAAAAACACATTATTAGCATGTACGATTTCGGCATACCCACTGCACACACAATACATGGCACATATGCAATGATAGACTAAAAACTCATTTCCAAACATGCCACATACAACTGTGTTAATTATGTCTTTATGCTGCCAACATGCCCAGTGTTAGCTCCCTAATCCAGCAGTGTCTAGATCCAGATTAGTAGGGTTAGATAGCTAATGACAGGTGCTTTGGATTACCACTATTTTATAACGTGAGGAGGACGTAGATATGAAGAAGATATATTCACAGAGTGGATGTTCCTAAAGTTAAATAATTTACGCCGACTACCTTGCACAAACACAGCAGTGAATGATTACTAGACTGCAATCTTGTCTTTAAGTGTCAGCGGTTCTCCCTTTTGCTTCAGGAGCAACCTTGAGGTTTTTCTTTTATAATTCCAATTTTGTAGGTTTGGACTGTTATCATACTAGCCCAGACATAGCAATATTGGACTGGAAGTTAGTCATTACTAGGTGGCCAAACAATGAAGTTGTTGGACAACCTGCTGTGTTTGTGAAGATTATTATTTTTAATACTATTACACCACTTTCTTCAAATGCCTATAAAAAACAAATTTCTAATCAAAAACGTTTGAAATGTGTGAACATGGTAGATACGTATGGTGCGCTACATGCTGTACAACAAAAAGGTCATAAGTCACAAAGCTTGGCAGCCAATTTGATTTTGGTGGCTAGTTTTGCACAATATTCTAACACCTGCTTCTCCATAACCATTTGTGCTACAAATTGCTGTGCAAGATCATGTTGTTACCTAGATTTAATTGGGCACATGGTTCGTCAGAACAACTTATTTTCCGAAACTGATTGTTAGAACAATGCAAAATGTGTCACATACTACTGCTGTTTATAGCAAGACACTGTGAAATTCAAAATGGCCATGCAAGCCAATTACATTTAAGAGGGGTAATAGTACAGTTAAGAGAAACAGATTTTTGATCTTTGTTAGGTTGCTGTTCTTCACAAATTGTTTTTTTTAAAGGCACCGCACACCCTCTTGTTGAATTACATTTACACTTTTCAATTAGTAGAGTCAAAGTGAATAGATGCTTGTCTCGATCTTGTAATAAGAATTCAAAGTTTCACATGGGATCCCAGTAGTCATGCCAAAACCAAATTTAAATGGATAACTACCTGTTTGTGAAAGTACAAATGATCGAAAGCTAGTCTTGCAAAGCTCTCCCATGTGAGAGTAGGATATCTACCACTCATTTATTATAAGAAATGTTAGCAATATCACACTATAGATCTTTCTTTTTTCAGTTATGAATGTACTGAAAAATTCCACTTAAAGAAAAAGGTTGACTATTGAGAAGGATTTGTGTTTCTGCATAATTGTTCCTACCTTATGGGTTATTAAAATAATGCTCTGCTTTTTCTATATTTTGATATTTTTCTGAATATTGTAGGTGGGAAACAAAGTGTGTAGCTGCAATGGCTCTACTCTGCAATTGTCATTTCTGTCAGAGGGCACAGCCTTTTTGCAGACACTGGCCAAAAACCAGCCAGACCAACGACATCCTAGGTCATCTCCACCTTACATGCGTTGGATCCCAAGAGAGTTATTCCATTTGTCCCACAAGAAAGAGAGTTTTTTTCTCAGTGACTTGAGCACTCCTACGGCCCCCTTTCCCCATTCAATTTTCCCATGTTTTATTTCTCATATGTTTGTTTCTGTAAGAGTTTATTTGATTTAGAAATGTTTCAGATGGATACTATAGTACATTTACACACCCAGACTGTGTGTAAATGTACTATAGTGTGCAAGTCACTTGTTGAGTAAACCATCATTCCCCCCTCCCCCCACCCTGCAAAACCTTTATAATAATGGGTTATTACAGTCAATCTACCTAGCCAAAGATGTGCTCTACTAGTCTGATAATGACAACAGAGTTCTTTACCCCATTGGTTTGTCATCGAGTTATACTTACTCAATGGATTTTAAGTTAACCAGTGCACTTCAAGATCTTGTTAATTCCAGTTCTCCTTATCGTTTTCTTAAATATAAAAAAAAAGGCCCACATACTCTGACTGTGTACGCTCTTGCCAGGTGAAAATCCTACCACGACACATGTTATGGTACATGCTATGTAATATTTTTCTTGTTTTACTATGTATTGAATGAGAACAACGTATACAGAGAATGTAACTGTCTATTATTGATGTGTGTAGCTGCTAAAAAAAAGGGACTTACCTGGGTCCTTCCCCTCGGATAGAGCTAAAATTGGTTACTTAATGAACCAACTGAAAGGTAAAGCCTTAGCTTGGGCCAATCCATTATGGGAAAGTGATAGGACTATTGCCCATAATTACTAAGAATTCTTTGTGGAATTCAAATTTACATTTGAACCATTAGGAAGGGAGAACACTGCTTCCACTGCCCTAGGGCGTATCAAACAAGGGAACTGTTCTGTTTCAGATTACGCAATAGAACTCCGCACCTTGGCTTCTGAGGTAGACTGAACTAATAACGGATTCATCACTGCGTTTGCAGAGGAATTATCTGAAGCTATCCTTGACGAAATTGCAGCCAAAGAACTATCAGGGAGGTAAAAATGAATATATCACTGATGTGATGCATATCGATAACCGGCTTAGGAACAGGGAGATAACTAGAAATAGAACCAGGCCCCTCGCTTCTCCAATCCTGTTGTCTCTGTCCCTCTTTACAGTCTGAACCTGAACCTATGCAGGTAGGGGTTATGAGACTGTCAGAGGCAATGAAACAGTTTAGGAGAAAAGAGGACCTCTGCTTATACTGTGGCAAGAAAGGACACATAACAAATGCTTGTCCCATAAGTCCGGAAAACTTACGCACCTAAGAACCATTAGGGGACCGGCCTTCGGTGTGATGTATATGTCCCCTGGTACTACTCAAAGTAGATTTCTCCTTAGTGTTGCTGCTCAATATGATGAGATAAGTTTTACGTGTAACGCCCTGATTGACTCAGGCACTGCAGAAAACTTTATCAATATACAATTGCCAGTAAACACTTCCTACCCATCAAGGACAGATCACCCCTGGCTGTCGAGGCCACTGATGGGAAATCACTCTCTCAGCCTTTAATTATCCATGAAACACTACCTATCACTTCCACGATAGGAGTGTTACACAAAGAACTCATCACATTTCAGATAATTGCTTCCCCTTCTTGTCCCATTATACTTGGATTCCCATGGCTTGTTAAAGGACCACTATAGGCACCCAGACCACTTCAGCTTATGAAGTGGTCTGGGTGCCAGGCCCAGCTAGGGTTAACCCTTTTTTCTATAAACATAGCAATTCAGAGAAACTGCTATGTTTATAAATGGGTTAATCCAACCTCTAGTGGCTGTCTCTTGACAGCTGCTACAGGCGCTTGCGTGCTTCTCACTGTGATTTTCACAGTGAGAAGATGCCAGCGTCCATAGGAAAGCATTGTGAATGCTTTCCTATGAGACTGGCTGTGCGCGCAGCTCTTGCCACGCATGCGCATTCAGCCCGAAGAGGAGGAGAGGAGGAAGAGAGCTCCCCGCCTGGTGCTGGAGAAAGAGGTACGTTTAACCCCTTCCTCACCCCAGAGCCCGGCGGGAGGGGGACCCTGAGGGTGGGGGCACCCCTTTAGGGCACTATAGTGCCAGGAAAACGAGTATGCTTTCCTGGCACTATAGTGGTCCTTTCAGCATAACCCCCGTGTTGATTGGGCTAAAGGTGAAATACTGGAATGGGGTAAAGAATTTAAAGAGAGATGTATGTTGCCTATTACTAAAAGAGTGGGTATCGTTAATCTACCTTCTCCTGCGCTTCAGTCTACCAAAATTCCTGTGCATTATAGGGAGGTTAAAGAAGTGTTTAATAAAAGTCACACTGATATGCTACCCCCTCACAGATCCTATGCTCCATAGATCTGTTACCAGGTACTATACCCCCTAAAGGGGGAGTATATACCTTATGACCACAGGAGAATAGAGGAGAGGAGAGTTAGAAGAATACATTAAATAGTCTCTACAAAAAGGCCACATACGTAAATCTTCTTCTCCTGCAGGTGCAGGGTTCTTTTTTGTTACCAAGAAGAGAGGAGAGTTATGGCCATGCATTGATTATAGGGCATTGAACAAGATCACCAACAAAAATGCTTATCCCATTCCCCTTATTTTAGAATTATTTGACAGACTCTAGGGCACTAAGGTGTTTACAAAACTCTTAGGAGTGCTTATAATTTGGTAAGGATTAAGGAGGGACATGAATGGAGAACTGCATTTAACACAAGAAATGGTCACTATGCGTATCTTGCCATGCCCTTCAGCTTATGCAATGCTGCAGCCGTATTTCAAGATCTCATGAATGATGTTCTCAGAGATTACATTTATACCTTCGTATTGGTATATCTGGATGTTATACTTATTTATTCCCCCGATATCCAGACTCATCATGGGCATGTTAAACAAGCACTGCAAACTTTGCTAAAAAAACGGGCTATATTGCAAACTTGACAAATGTCTATTTGAACAGACGGAAGTTCAGTTCTTCAGATGGACCCACGTAAACGAGAAGCCATTCTACATTGGCCATTACCCAATGCGTTAAAAGCCATTCAAAGGTTTATTGGGTTTGCACATTACTATAGGAGATTCATCAAAGGTTTCTCTACTGTGATAGCCCCCATCACCAATATGACACGTAAAAGGGTTATCTGTAATATATGATCTAAAGAAGCTAAAGAAGCTTTTGAGCTACTTAAGAAATGATTTGCTTCTGCTGACATATTGGTAAACCCTGACACCAGGGCCGGATTAACATAGGGGCTGATGGAGCTGCAGCTCCAGGCCCAGGCCCATGGAATAGGCCCATTGATTTATAAAAAAAAATATATATATATTTATTTTTTTTACATTTTTTTTTTCACACACTACTCTTAGGGATTCCACCTGGCTTTTATTTTATTGGCTTTTTCTCTTATGTCACTCCTTGTGATTTACATCATGTGATGTCACCCATACATATTTAATTATGCAAATTAGCAAGGCCGGTATGTTTTTCCAAGAAAGGTGGCAACTCTAACTACTTTTCACATACTCTTACTTAAGTATGGAAACTTAACTTGTGTATGGATGTATGGGATGTATGGGAACAATGAATATAGTTAAAGGGACACTAGAGTCACCAGAACAACTACAGCTTATTGAATTTGTTCTGGTGAGTAGAATCATTACCGTCAGGCTTTTTGCTGTAAACACTGTCTTTTCAGAGAAAATGCAGTCTTTACATTACAGCCTAGTGATAACTTCACTGGCCACTCATTAGATGGCTGTTAGAGATCCTTCCTGGGTCATTCCTGCCTAAAATGCATCCAAACATTCAGTGTCTCCTCCCTCTGCATGCAGACACTGAACTTTCCTCATAGAGATTCATTGATTCAATTCATCTCTGTGAGGAGATGCTGATTGGCCAGGGCTGTGTTTGAATCATGCTGGCTCTGCCCCTGATCTGCCTCTTTGTCAGTCTCAGCCAATCCTATGGGGAAGCACTGTGATTGGATTAGGCCACCACCTCTAATGATGTGAGCAGACTGCTTGTTTTTCTGAGTCTAACAGTTACAGCTTCAGGCTTGAATACAGTAAGATTTTGCTATATTTAAGGAGGCATGAGGGGCCCAAGGGGGCTAGATGGTGGTGTTAACACTATAGGGTCATGAATTCATGTTTGTGTTCCTGACCCTATAGTGATCCTTTAAAGTAATGCTGACTTTGGACTCTTTAGCACTGTGGCATGTTCCCTTTCTTCTACACTCACTACATACAGCTTTTCTCTGTCCCAGACTATATACCAGGAGCTTCTGCCTGCTAGTAAGAAGTTAAGGAGACAAGTGGACCAGCGAGTGCTAGGGGACAGTCCTTAGAAAGCGTTGAGCGAGCGCATCATTAGATGCAATTATGCCAAGCTCAGGGTGCTGTCTGCATAGTATGCCCTTAGTTGGCCAGCTGCATGATTGGCAGGCAGCCTGACATGCATTCATAACAGGCTGGCCTTCTAATTCTTTGGACAGACATATCCTCTTTTTGGGCATGTTCACCCCTTTTGGCAGGTTACGTGATTTGTGTCAGTGGCACACCCTTTTACCGTGCCCAGTGACTTCCTGCTTACTGGACACTGCTGTTAGGGGTGGATTTACTTGAAAGATGAAAACATAAATTAGTGAGAGATTAGCCTAGGGTATGTGTTTTATTATAGCTGCTGTTTTCTTTCTTTCCAGCACCATCTCCATCAGATACATGACTCTTGGGAGTGTTTTACTGTTTTTGGTCGATATGATTCTGTAATTAGGCCCGTCATAATTGTCAGCACCAGGCCCACTGGGCTCTTAATCTGGCCCTGCCTGACACTAGCAAACTCTTATACTAGAGGTAGATGCCTCTGAGACAGGGGTAGGGGCTGTCCTTTCTCAGAGGGAGAGTCAGGATACCCCTTTGTGTCCTTGTGGGTTCGTTTTTAGAAAGTTTTCGCCAGTGGAGCATAACTATAATATTGGTAACAGAGAATTGTTAGCCATTATCCTAGCTCTGAAAGAATGGCAACATCTTTTAAAAGGTTCCAGGGATCCATTCCTGATCATAATGGATCACAAAAACTTGGCATACATTAGTGATGATAATAGGTTGTCTTCTAGACAAGCTGGATGGTCGTTGTTCTTGTCATGCTTTAACTTTATTATCACGTACAGACCAGGTCCTAAGAACGTTAAGGCTGATGCCCTATCTAGGCAATTTAAACTAGAGGCAGAACAAGAGACCTCTCCCATTATACCACCTGAATGTATCATCACAGTTCTTTCCTTGTCTTCTCCTCTCCTTTGTGCTATAATGGCAGCCCAGACTCAAGCACCTGGTGATAAACCTCAAGATAGGTTCTTTATTCTGTTAGTGGGAAAAAAGGAGGTACTAAGAGTGTTTCACGATAATGTGACAGCTGGACTGTTCGCTGTCTCTAGATCATTTTGGTGGCCATCTCTTAGAACGGGCATCAGAGAGTATGTGGAGGCGTGTACTATTTGTGCGGTTTCTAAGGTTCTCCATAAACTACCTTGTGGGTTATTGCAACCGCTTCCTGTACCCAGTGCCCCATGTTCTTGTGACGAAGTGCCATTCGCCACTCGTGCCTGGAGAGGACTGCTTGCCCGCCTCTTGCCCTGTGACTATGGCCCCTGGGATGTATTGCCCTTTAAAGACATGATTTGGGCATGATGGATTTGTGTTGTGCTGCTGCTGGCCCTTTAAGAACCATCTGGGGACATACTGTGGAATTACTGGGTGGCCACCATTTCATGTATCAGAGGCACATGGTGAGAACAATGGATGAAGCACATGGTGAGAACAATGGATGGCGGCCATTTTAACTCACAGACACTGTTTGGACTTTTCAACACGGTGCCATCTAGCCAGTATTTGGTGCACAGAGACATCGTGCAGTGGTTTTGGACTATACAGCAGGGGACACATTATAAAGTGATTGTTTTTCATTTAGCCTGTATATGTTCTGCAGAATCTGCATTAAACTGTATTTTCCAAAGTACTGAGCGGATCTGGGTGAATTTTGGATATGTGGTTCACCCAGATCCCCCGGTTCCAAGGATTTTTATGGGTTTATTGCATGTTTTGGGGTCCCTGTGTGTTTTATGAAACTGTATTATTTCTGGCCAGCAGATAATTGAGCTTTGTGTATTGTAGAAACTCAATTATCTAGCCTGGCCCAGAGGAGGAGTTTTGTGTTGCATAAATTGTGAGTTCTGTGTGCCAGTAAATCAGTCTTGTTCCAGCATTAAGCCTTGGCTCATGTTTGGGGATTGGAGAAATACACTCTGCGGATTGCTATAATCACTATACTCCCCAGGGTATGATCACTAAGTTCTGCTAAGAGCTTGTTCCTGCTCTCTGGGGAAAGAGAGGTTCACCCACTGGAAGCTGGATCCTGACCTTGGGTCCAGGGTGGGTGGAGACAGCAGAGACCCCAGCGCAGTTGCAGTGGGGTCTGCAGTGCTGATGGTGTCGGTTGGAGTGCTTGGAGTCCTCGGCAAGCGCTAGGAGCATCGATTGGCGGAGGTACTCAGTCGGAGTGCCAGCGTTCCGTCACAGTTCTCACTTGTCTATAGACTTTATTGTGGAACTCCCGAATTATAAAGGCTATAACACCATCCTAATGATTGTTGACCGCTTTTCTAAAATGGCACACTTTGTTGCGCTCAAAAAGATAACTTCTTCCCAAGAGCTGGTTCATATTCTTATACGCGAAATAATCCGATTACATGGTATGTCGCTAAATATTGAGTCAGATAGGGGTTCCCAATTTGTATCACGATTTTGGAGAGCATTTTCTAAACAGTTGGGTATGGAATTATCGTTTTCATCTTCATACCATCCTCAAACGAATGGTGCAGCTGAGCGAGCCAATAAATCGTTGGAACAATATTTGAGATGTTTTAGTAATGGCACTCAGGAAAACTGGTCACCAAAAATAATGCTACCCATGACTCATCTGTACATAGTCCATTTTTTGTTAACAACGATCGCCATCCTACTGTCCTCCCTGTGGTGTTCTCTGACACTGCTATTGCCACTCTGGATGACCATCTCACATGTATTCGTGAGACTTGGACTAAGGTCCACACGGCTTTGGAAACAGCTATGGCTCATTTCAAACTGCAAGCTGACTATCCTCTGGTACCATAGGCGTGCGCACGGGGTGTGCCGGGTGTGCCTGGGCACACCCTAATCCCGCGGCACGCCTATGCATATTGAGACCGGCAGGGGAGATCTCAGGATCTCCCCTGTCGGCTCATGCAGAACCGGCGCTATCTGAGCGCCGGCTCTGCTCTCAGCCTCCCTCCCACCGACCCACATGCAGGGAGGGAGGCAGGAGAGGACCCGGCGGAGCTATTGCCGGCAGCTCCGCCGGGTTCCTCTCGCGAGATATGAGCGTTGCCACGGCAACGCTCAAATCTCGCGAGAGTGAACTCTAGCCCCACAGGGGGCTAGAGTTCACTCTCCACTGGACCGCCAGGGATCACAGCAGCAAGGATCCCCTCCTCCACTGGACTACCAGGGAAGGAAGCAGCAGCACGATCCCCCCTCCCTACAAAAGGTAAGAAGGGAGGGGGGATAGCAAATAATGTACCCCCACCTCCACCCCCACAATCACCCACCCACACACATACAGCACCCACACATTCAGCACCCACACACATTCAGCACCCACACACATACAGCACCCACACATACAGCACCCACACACATTCAGCACCCACACACATTCAGCACCCACACAGCACCCACAGACATACACAGCACCCACAGACATCCAGCACCCATAGACATACACAGCACCCACAGACATACAGCACCCCCCACAGACATATACAGCACCCACAGACATCCAGCACCCACAGACATACACAGCACCCACAAACATACACAGCACCCACAGACATACACAGCACCCACAGACACACACAGCACCCACAGACACACACAGCACCCACACACATACAGCACCTACAGACATACACAGCACACACACACACATACAGCACCCTCACAAACACACACAGCACCCTCACAGCACACTAACAGTACCCTCACAAACACAAACAGGACCCTAACAAACACACACACAGCACACTACCAGTACCCTCACACACAAACAGCACCCTCACACACTGTACATTAACAGCACCCTCACAAGCGCACACACACACACAAACAGCACCCTCACACACAGTACATTAACAGCATCCTCACAAGCACGCACACACAAACACCCTCACCCACATAGCACACTACCAGCATCGTCACACACACATCACACTAACAGCACCCTCACACAGCACACACACACACACATAGCAGTGTGTGTATGTGTGTATATATGTGTATGTATATACATACATACATATATATATGCGGCGTGTGCTTGTGCTTTAGGGTGCACACCCTAATGCAATAGGCTGCGCACGCCTATGTCTGGTACGTTAAGTCCAGCCATTCTAAAGTCCGGTTAAACGTTATCCTTAGTCCTTGGTGTGATACTATTCTGCGTGCTGGTTTAACTATAATCCTGACACTCTCATACAGTAATTTTATTACAAAAACAAAACAGTTTGAATCTTTTTAATAACGGGTACAATAATAACTATCAAATATCGACAGTGCACTCTGCCATCTTCAATATGAACCCCATAAGTCATTTGGTCTAGTGGCCATATTGGATTACATGACCAAATTTGTAATTCTTCAAATAAGTTTATAAAGTACATATCTTCACTAATTTAAAGTACAAATCTTTACTAATTAACTATCTACTTGAAATATCCGCTCACATGCCCTATCCAGGCTTTTGTGCTTGGCCATCTTGTTTGCAGCTTGCATCTATATTTTAGTATTGCATTTAGCTTTTTACAGTGACTCTTACCTCCACACAGAGTTACATAAGTGTTTCTCGTTATTCGAAAGTCTATGATTTACCGGGTACAGGGTAATATTTTCTTTAATTTTTTTATCTCAGCAATATATCGTAAAATGTCAAGTGCCAGGTTGGAGCTGTCGTCATTCTCAAAACCCTCTGATTCGTACCACACTTATCTTGAAAAGTGAAGTTTTGGAATGCTTTGGGTCTATAGTTTACTCTAAAAAGTACAGTTTTGAAATGCTTTTGTTACTGTCAATGGATACGATTTTTTTAAAACTGCACAATAAAAAATGTCCGACAAAAAAAGGGGGTGGAAGACCTGTGCAAGATAGAGCGATGGGGGAGATATCAGGTAAAACAGTGGTAAAGCATAAAATAGCATTACAGGGAGAGATTTGCTTTATGTATTCAGGTGCTACAGAGGGTAACTATCAAAGACTTAGAGAAGAAATGTAAGAATATAGAAAATACTTTAATTTTGCATCTTAGACAATGACTGCCTTCTCTATGTACTTTTACTTATACATTCTATAAGCTTCTTCTTTCTTTCATGAAGATATTTGCTAAAGTCTAATAGATTCCAGGTTGGCAAATGTTTGTCAAGTCTAGAAGCAGAAATTATAGATACAATGGATAGGATTCACAATTACCCTACCAAAAATGTATTTAAAAAAAAATAAAAAAAATTAGAAGGAACATTTTCCAAAATATTTCCAAAATAAATTTAATGCAGACTAAAAGTACATGAAACCACAATTGAGAAATACAATAATACAGTTCAAAAAATGTGGCCCCACAGCACCTATTAACCATTTGGTACCTGGAGATATGGTCCTTTTTAAGCAATCATACAACAGACAGCAGTGTGTGTGTTAACACCTGACGGAGTGTGAAGTGCTCTACTATTTATCATCACTTCACCATTTTCCCATACGCCACTCTTTCTTTCAATTGTTGGGGGTAGCAGGGGGAATTTAACACAAGCACAGGACTAAAATGTGTTTGCACTGCACATTTAACCTGTTTTAAGACATTTAAGCTCACATGGAAGCACGTTAGCAGCATTCGGCGTGTGAGCAGGGCAGAATGGCTGCAGTACCACCCAGCATGCTTTTGAGGCTTGCACATCCACCAGGACGATACACCTATTTTGTGGGCAGAGATGTTCTCATGGGTACACCCACTCAAAATCCTTGCCCCATCCATGCCCTACTTCTCCCAATTTCAGACATGCAAAAATTAGCCATTTTGAATAAGAACTATTTTAAAAATTGATGTGTATACAGCTACTCGAAATACTAGGGTGGTATTTCAGCACATACCACAAGTACAAATAAAAATGCTAAAAACCACATTTGGGCAAAAGAGGCTGATTCTGGTGGTCTTTGCCATGTATGGTTTAAAATCAATGATACAAAGGGTCAGTCTGGATGTAATATGTAACCCTCATTAACCTAATTAACTTATCAATGAGTATGTTAATGCATTTTGTAATCTCACATTAATTAATTTTGTGTGTACAGTATATAAATGTTTACTTGTTACTGTGGTGTTAGCTTGATAAAGACCTGGGTTCAGGTCGAAACGTTGTGGATCCATTAAAACTGCTTTGAACATATTACAGTGAGTGCCTGAGATTGTTTCTTATATGTTATATGTAACCCTGTCAGACTGGATAATATGAAACGGTGTATACATTCTGATACAATGCACAAAGAGCCATTTATACTATTTTTCAGTCTCAGCACAGGCCACTTTATTTCAAGTTAGAGAAGAATAAGTCACAAAGCTTTTAAACTTATTTTGTCCAACCATATGCTTATTCTGACCAGCCACAAGCTTATTCTTTGTATGCTTTCAAGGTGTGGATATCTGGGGGGGGGGGGTTCAAACCAACTGTACTATTATTAATTTTTTGTACTTTGAAATTATAGGTTGCCAGGGGCAACAAGCTATACTGAGGTAATAGCATTTGTTGCTCCTAGCAACCTACTGGAAGTTTAATCACGGATAAAACTGAATTTAATGCTGAGAATACAATGAAAACAGATCTGTTGTGAAATCTACTAGCTTGTCATCAAAGAATCAAAGACATTATAGGTTCCATACAATACAATGGCTGGTTGACATCGTTATGTACTGTTTTAAATAACTTATTCATTAAAAAAACCCTTTGTGAAATAGCTGCAGACTATGTAGATGCTTCACAAATGAAGACAATGAACAGGTTCATTTTAAACACATTTTGCTTCTGCATGTATCCTGCCTTATTGAAATCATATCATGTACCCTAGCATTAGAGAATGAGTCTTCAAATGCATATTTATCAAGAAAATTCTGCAGAAAAGTGCTAAATATGGAGCTATAGAAACCAAAAATATATTAACATGTAGCAGTTTGCCCCAGAAAAGCATTTGTTTTGACAAAGACAAATATAACATTTCTGATTCCGCACTCTACATTTGCAATGGAGAAGTACTGGATGTCCACGCGGGCTTCACGGTTGACCAAGACTACCACAAGTTATACATTACATCTTAGCTTGAATACAGCAAAATTCCTTACCAATGTATAGTTTGTAAACATTTCTCTGTCTATTATTCAAATAATTTTCTCCATAAACTCCTACACACACCTTACTCGTTCCTTGACTAGTGTTTCAAAACAACTAACTATATGCTCTGCTATTAAAACCTTGAAAGAGTAAAGCCTTCATATGGTATTAAAGTGTTTTTTCTCTCAATTTATACTCCTCCTGGGATATAGGTAACCTTTGTACTCTTGGGGAATACTTTAATACAAGAGAACAAAATATCCTTTCAATGGCTGAACTGAATGATAAATTCCTAACCCTAAATATTCATGTATTCTCTTGTAGGTCAATGTTTGCTGATCTAGATTGGCAAAATCCATTTGACTTGTGCATACTCCTCTATCATAATAAACAGTATTTGATAAATACAATCCATTCTTATATAAAGAGTTACATTGACCATGTAGACCACTCTTCAGGTTCTATTAGGTTACCAACAAATCTTTCAAACCTCATTGTTGATAAGACAATGTTCTATTATCCTACTTTAATACAATACTAGCAGTCTCAACCTCATCTTGCCCCTGACAAACAATTCTAAATGAAAATGAGAGATTCGTCTAGATGCTTGACATGTGACCAGGAGGAGGTGGACCTGCTCCACTGTCTTTGGCCATTCAAGCCTATCCAACTCTTCTGGGAGCTAGTAATAAATGTTGTTGATCACACACTAAAACTCATACAGAACTAATAAGTGAATTGACAATTTGGGGCTATGGTGACAGGATGCTTTTATTCTATTCTATATAACTACATATATTTTCCTGCAGGAGCGAAAACATTGATTCTCCAAAATCTGATACACGTGGAACCTTTGAATATTTCCATATTATATCTTAAATTGTACTGTACCTTCCGCATAGATTGGTAGCCACAAAGAAAAGCACACAAAACGCTACTTAGTAAATTATCTGGTGAGATAGTTCTGCACAGTAAAATACCCTGCAGCTAACGTTACAAGACTTATAGTTTACTTTTAACTAAAGGATCTACATTTGCCACATAATTTCCAGTGTGCTCAGACCAAATGACAATATGACACATTACGTATAACTTAAGAGAAATGTCATTGATAATTGTTATACAGATCTGCCAATTTAGCAAACCTGCAATCAGGAAGAGGGGATGGATGGGGGCAAAGTCAGTGACATTCCCATGATGCAGTGAGAGCACAGATAGGTGAAGAGTACTCTGCTAAAATACTTACAAAACAGAGGAGGTAAAGGACACAGGAAGAAGAACAAACATGGGAAGACAGACTGACAAGTTTGATATATTTATCTATTTAAATCAACACTCCAGGCATCATAACAATTTCATTTAAAGGGACACTATAGTCACCTGAACAACTTTAGCTTAATGAAGCAGTTTTGGTGTATAGAACATGCCCCTGCAGCCTCACTGCTCAATCCTCTGCCATTTAGGAGTTAAATCCCTTTGTTTATGAACCCTAGTCACACCTCCCTGCATGTGACTTGCACAGCCTTCCATAAACACTTCCTGTAAAGAGAGCCCTATTTAGGCTTTCCTTATTGCAAGTTCTCTTTAATTAAGATTGTCTTATCCCCTGCTATGTTAATAGCTTGCTAGACCCTGCAAGAGCCTCCTGTATGTGATTAAAGTTCAATTTAGAGATTGAGATACAATTATTTAAGGTAAATTACATCTGTTTGAAAGTGAAACCAGTTTTTTTTTCATGCAGGCTCTGTCAATCATAGCCAGGGGAGGTGTGGCTAGGGCTGCATAAACAGAAACAAAGTGATTTAACTCCTAAATGACAGTGAATTGAGCAGTGAAATTGCAGGGGAATGATCTATACACTAAAACTGCTTTATTTAGCTAAAGTAATTTAGGTGACTATAGTGTTCCTTTAATGAAGCTGCTATGGTGCCTGATGGTCTTGGGAGCCTACTTACCTTAAGGGATTAAACCATTTACTAGCAGTTTAACCCCCAAATTGTGTAGATGGCACCCGTCCGCTCCGCTCATCTGCTTCCAGGTGCCAGTTATAGGCGTTCAGTATGAGGCTTCATCATTGAAGCTGAAAGCAAGGCCAGAAGAAGAGGAGCAGAACAGATGGGTGATGTCTACACAACTTTGTGATTAAACTGCTTTCTCAGAAAATCCAGGCACCCTTACAACTTCACTGAGATGAAGCTATTATGGTGTCTAGAGTGTTATTTTACACATGTGGCAGGAGTGAATTGTAGTATGGAAAGTATCAATGGCTCTGATATAGGGGGACACAGGCTTGTGTCACCCACCACTAACTGTACTTGGCAGAGTAGGCACCTGCCTACCCAATCAGTAAGTACCTTCTCTGCTAAAATGTATCCTTGTCCAGTCTGGTGGGTGAGAAGTACAGGTTGCCAAAGAGCTCTTTACTCACTGTGCTCCCCCTGCACTGCTGCTTCATGCTGTGCCAGCTGCCAGGATATGATATCATCCCAGCATTGGCATAATGGGAGCAATGCAGGGAGAGCATGGACCTCTTAATAAATTAAAAAAAAGTTTATGTGTGTAAATCTCTAATTGTGTCTGTGATTATGTGTGTGTGTATGCCTGTGATTGTGTGTGTGTAGGTCTGTGATTGTTTTTATATATTTTTGATAACGTGTGCGTATTTCTGTGATTGGGTGTGTAAATGTGTGTATGTCTGTGGTTATGTGTGTATAAGTCTGTGTGTGCATGTCTGCAATTATGTGTGTGTATGTCTGTGTGCGTGTCTGTGAGTGTGTGTGTGTGTGTATATCTGTGGTTATGTGTGAGTGTGGGTTTATGATTATGTGTGTGTATATGTCTGGGATTGCATGTTTCTGTGAATGTGTATCTATGACTGTAATTATATGTGTGTTTATGTCTGTTTGCATATTGTGTGTGTGTGTGTGTGTGTGTGTATAAAGATGTGTATTTGTTTATTAGCTAGCTCCTTAATTTGGTATTCTTAAGTATGGCAATCCCACATAAGCATAGCAAATAAGTTATCTACTAAACGACTAAATTACTTTTCTTATTTTTGATATTTCAGCTGTTTAAGCTGTTTAGTGGGTAAATCGTTAAATCGGTACACTTATGTGGGATTTCCATATTTAAGGATACCAAATTAAGGCACTGTTTAGCAGACAGCTCCCTTGGCAAATATGAGGGCTACCTGCTAAACAGGTGACAGATTTAGTGTCATTACCCAGCCCAGAATATGGAGTATAAAAAGAAAGCCTAGGACTTGGTCAACTCCAACTGAGAAGTGTAATAAGGAGGAAGTGGTTCATGTAAAGGAAATGCTGAATGAGCTTTTTGAGACGTAAGATGAAGCCAGGTAATAACAGTGAAGCAAAAACCAAGGTCGAGGAGAGTTTTGAAATAGCTGCTGAAAGGTCTAAGAGAATTAAAAGGGAGTGTTGATCTTTGGGTTTAGCAGTGGGTATATAATTAGTCACTTTGGTTAAGATTGTTTTAGTAGAATGCTGAGAGTGGAAGCCTGATCAAAAAAGGTCAGAGTTAGAATTGAGAAATTTAGTAAGACTGGTATGTACAAGCTGTTTTAGAAGATACAAATGAAACAAAGTAGAGATAACGCATGGTAAGAATAAAACACATGGCAAAATGGTAGACACTTTGTACTCAAAGGTCACACTTTGCAACTTTGTATAAAAAAATCTAGGCGTAAAATATACAAAGGAGTAAAATAAAAGTCAGAAATACGTGTGAATGCTGGTTCCAAATCAAAATTATCTTACCTTTTAAATAATTATGAGAGCAAACCCGTTGCATAGAGCTTTGAGGCAATTTGAGGCAATATGCTCCTCCAGTGAACACATTTCCAAGGGAATCTCAGTTCTCTATGCAATGCTGATAATGACCCCCCTAGATTTATCGCTAAATGGGAGGGAGAGACCGGGGAAATGCTCACAGAGTAGGAGTGGCACAAAATATATGTCTTAACTTACAAATGCTCCATCAGCAACACATTTAAAGATATGGGCTATAAACTGGTAACCAACTGGTACAGAACCCCAGAGGTCCTACATCACATGAATACTGAAAATTCTGACCAGTGTTGATGTTGTGGGACAGGACTTGGCTCACAATTGGAAATTTGGTGAACCTGCCACTCTGACCTCCCCCTCGAACCGCTCCCAATGCTTTTACACCACACCAAATCAATGTAGCACTGACCAATCACCTACTAAATGCATAAGTCCTTATTCCCCACTATGTGGAAGCAGACGGGTGCGCTATCCTTCTGGCAATGGGTTGCTAGGATCCAAGAGATTTATAATATAAAATCCCTGACCTCTGTTCTCCAAGGCAACCCGGAAAAGTGCACTGACCTAGACTCTTTGGCAAGATTATGTCTCAAGAATGGGCACCTAGACGCTGGCGACACACACAGTAGAGCTTCAAGGCCTTGCGAGAACTGATGGTACAATTCAGTGGACCTGCTGGCCACCCTGCTTGCGGAGAAGGAAAAACACCTACATTTTATTACGCTCCCCTCCCCCCACCCTTTTTTTTATTCCCTCTCTCATCTTCCCCACTTTCTTATACTCCCTTACTACCTCTCATTTTCTTCGCTCCTTCACACTCCTTTTTTGAACGGTACGCTACAGGACAACATTTTGCATTTTATTTGCACAATTCAATGCAATCGGTACACTGTATTCTTTAGTCCTTTGTATATGCTTGATTTTAGACAATGTCATCAGCCCTTATGCTTATGCCCCACCTTTCTTATTTATGCTATATTGGAAATGTAAAACTCAAAATAAAGATTGTCAAAATATATATATATTATGAGACAGGAAAAAAGTTTAAAAACTAAAGCAACTGGATGAGTTCTACATCAAGACAGATGATTTTTCAACAGCTACCAATAAGGGACTGCGGTTAGATAGAGATGTAGGGTTAAGTGATGGCTTTTAGGATAGTAATGACAACTGAAACTTTGAGAGAAGTGGGTAGGACAGTACAAGAAAGAAAAAAAGATGGAACAAGAGACAGGATAAGGTGATAAGAAAGTAGATCAAGGGGACAAAAGAGAAAACGGGCAGAAATCTCTTGTGCTATGTGACTAAAAAGAAAGTATTTAGCATAGGGTACGAAAAAGAAGATTAGTTATAGAGAGGATATATAGGGGAATTATTCTACATTTGTTCAATCTGGTCAACAAATTAATATGCAAAACCTTGCGCTGTGAGGTTAGTGTAGAGTGGGGATGCAGAAAAGTGGATCCCCTGACCAAGGCCTGTCCCTGTTAACATTAAGCCAAGCCACTCTAAGGTCATTATAAATACCATTGGTTGACAACTTTTTAAAATGGTACGCATTTTCTTTCTTAGGCTGCTACACCATCTCAAAAAGAACTTGTCAAATTCTCAAGATTGAAATGGTAATATAATACATTTGTTACTGTGGCTTCTTTATAAAAATAGAAAAGCAGTACATGTGGGCATTTTTATATTCATGAGACATTGCTAAATAAAAAAAATATTGGGGTTTTATTGCGTTAACACATATCAAGATTATGAAATTTCCTGGTAAAACCAGAATACATGTGTGTGAAAAAACAAAGTATAAACTCTAAATGTGCCCAACAATGTGATAAAGAGGCTACAACACAAAACTCAAAATACTCCATTATTAATACCCTGGGTTGTCTACTTTTGAAAATAGTATGCTATAGCAGTGGACATTTTCTTTGCTTGGCTGCCATATTGTCTCAAAGGTGACATGGTGCAGAAAATCAATTTGTCTAATTTCCTGTATGAGGACTGAAATGGGAAGATCCTATATTTGGTCTGTAACTTCCAAACTCATCATAAAACTTTTGTGGGATTGTTATACTAATAGGACATTAAGTGTTTTATAGCAGTAAAACATATAAAGATGATGAGATAAACAGTGACACTAAGCGTTACACTTTGTGTGACACTAAATGTGAACAGATTTTATGACTATTTGTCTTCTAAAAAAAATGACTTACCCTTTTTGGAATACATTGTATGCATAAACCCAACATTAGCATCCTAATGGGAGGAAAATGGAGGACTAGCGAGTATCCTGTGTACAGCGCAGGCGCGTCTAATAATGTGCTCTCTCTATCTATACACTTTGAGGACAGTTCCCTGGTGTTCCCAAAAGCAGGACACCAGGGAACGTTGTTGGGACAGGACCCAAAAATCAGAACTGTCCTGCCAAAATTGGGATGTTTTTGAGGGGGCATGGATCATGGGGGTAATTTTCTTTCCTGGGCTGCCCTATTGCCTCAATGGTGACATAAGCCTAGCAAAGTAGAATATCCATGAATGAAAACTGAAATGGATAAGTCTTTCAAACCCCCTTAAAGCCTATACATTCACAAAAACAGTATGATTATATTCACAGTAAAAAGTGCCATGCTAAACTCCCAACTGTCCAGATTTTGTAAGAAGATTTCAGGTCCTGTCCCACTGTCCCGACTTCCCTGATGTCTCGGTTTTGGGGATCCTACCGATGGTTTTGCCCCATTTTGTACGGGGCCACTCAGACTTCAAAAAATGATGCTCCTCAGATGTTGGTGGACTACACCTCCCATGATGCTTTGCCAGCCTATAGTAGACAGCATCTGTGGAGCTGAAGTTTGACACCCCAATACTACCAAATCCTCCTCATACTTCTAACTGTTCATTTTCTATTGCAACTATTCCCATAATAATCCCCAGATCAGACTATGGTGTCAAACTGTCGTCTGTCATTGAAATTTGATTGTAAGTTGTACTGGAAAAATGCAATATTTGCATAGATATTGTTATTATTTACTCATGTGAAAAATTCATGATTAGCAGAAGCACATTGCAGTTTATATACGGAAAACCCAAAGCTGAAATGCATAGAAAACAGAAAAGAAATATATTTTGCTTTTGAAGAAAAACACAATCAAAAGTGAGTACAATAAGGCATTGCAGCGGCATTTAGAATAGAACATGATTTATGGATCCTTTTCTGCAAATAATTACATTGAATGTACCCGTGGAAAAGAGAATTTTCACATAAACAAAATCCAGTGAAATATAATCAAAATCACTCAACATAACAAGAGTAGCAGAGTTTGCAGAAAAGGATTAAAAAAAATAAGATACCAGAAAATGCATTAGGTTTGTGATGATGACAGCTTTTGGAATTGAAATCCAGGAGCTGCATAGTTTATAGCGCGGAAAGAGGAAAAAAAGAAATCTCCTTCTAATAGCTGGGTAAAGAAGCTATAACAATGCTCTGGGTTTTTTTTGTTTTTAAAGTAGACTCAGCATTTTCTGGCTGCATAATCGGTGAGAGACAGAAAACCAATGCAAAGCTCTACAGGAAATCTCAGGAACCTGCTCGGGAATGATTAGAAGGCAAACGCCAGGAGTTGTCAAATGGCGAATGTTTTGGCTTTTGGTAATTCTTTGAAAAGATGCACATGGGGATTAATTCACTAAATAGGGAATAGTGGAAAACTGACTGGGGAATTGCAAATTTTTAGACCCAAAACAGTTAAGCGTTAAAATAAGATGAGCTGAGAAATGCTCCAGTTCATCTATTTTGACTTACACATTGCAAGTCTTCACAATCCTAGTTTAATGAATAAATACAATTTAAGTTAGAGGTGTCAAAGGGGCATTGCTCAAGAGTCCACCTCAGTATATATTTAAATTTTTCATCCAACTCCAGTATTTTATATCTTTGTAAACATAGGTGGGAGAATAGTCTTAAAGGGGTATTCCATCATTTTACAAAATGTGCAGGTTTCATTAGAAATTGGCACTTTTAAAAATTACATTTATAAAAAAAATATATATTTTTTAAATTAAAGGGAAAACATGTTTCCTGGCACTATAGCTTTATCCTTCATCAAGGTCCCTCTCTTTGACCCCTCTCTCCTCGTGGTGCAGAAGGCGTTACAAACACCTTCTGTCATTTAGCTTGGTCCAGCGCTGATGCCCCTCAGCGCTGGCACTGGAGGAGACCTAATGCACATGCCAGTGAATATTATTATTAAAGGGACACTATAGGCACCAACACAACTTTAGCATAAAGAAGCCGTTTTGGTGCATCGATCGTGCCCCTGCAGTCTCACTGCTCAATTCTCTGTCATTTAGGAGTTAACTTACTTTGTCTATACAACCCTGGTCACAGCTCCCTGCATGTGGCTTTCACAATCTTCCTAAACGTCACAAACTTCAGCTCATTGAAGTGGTCTGGGTGCAAAGTCCCGGGCCCCTGAACCCTGCAAAGGTAATTACCTTTGAGGGTTAACTCTATCTCTGGTAGAAAGCAACTAGAGGGACTTCCGGGTCGTTAGGTGACTTTTGGTCGACTGTGGTGTTATGAGTGTCTCTTTACAGTTTTCAAGTGGAACTGGAGTATTACCTGTCACCCCCTTCCACCTCAGCTTGATTTATCATACTCTGTAGCTAATACAAATTATGGCAGTTAAGGCACCATAGGTGTTAGACCGACGATTTTGAAAAATAGCTAAATTGCTAAATCTATGCGATTATTTTGTAATTTTGTCCTACATTTGGGAGAGTGTGTCTGTCAGTTTATGTGTGTGTGTCTTTCTGTCAGTGTATGTGTGCGTCTGTCTGTCTCAGTGTTTGTGTGTGTGTGTCTGTCTGTCATGTGTGCATATGTCAATGTATGTGTGTGTCTGTGTATGTGTGCATCTCTGTCAGTGTATGCATGTATGTGTGTGTGTCTGTCAGTGTATGTGTGCATACATGTCAATGTATGTGCGCATCTGTGTATGTGCGCTTCTCTGTCAGTGTATGCATGTATGTTTGTGTGTGTGTGTCTGTCTCAGTGTATGTGTGTGTGTTTAGGTGACCATCCCCCCCTCCCCATTCATATGGGAATTGTGTTTATACTTAACTTTTCTCCACGCTGTACCAGTCTTCCCATGGCTGGCGCTGCCTCTATGGCTGAGATAATCACTTTTGAGAAGTTATCGTGCATGCACTGCAAAACGCTGTACCAATCAGCATCTCCTCATAGAGATGCATTGAATCAATACATCTCTATATGGAACGTTAAGTGGAGGCATTGATTGTAGGTACTGCATACAATGCAGCACTGAGATAGGAAGCACTTTAGTGGCTGTCTGAGTGACTGCCACTAGGCAGCTATGTAAACAATGCCTTTTCTCTAAAGTCAGTGTTTACATTGAAAAGCCAGCAGGGACAGGCTATACTCACGACAACCACTACATAAAGCCTTGTAAGGTTAAAAAAAAACCTGGCTCCTAACATTTTTTGCTGGTTCCTAGATTCAAAGCAAAATTGTCAAGCTCTGATATATAGTGTTCTATTTTGTTTATTTTGCAAACTGTCAAGAGATAAATGCAAATGAGGCTTCAAACCAAAAGGAAAAATTTTGTTTAAATGCAACACCAAGTGATACATTTCGATTCTCGAAGCGCAGTGTGGAACCTTAAAAGTAGCTGATGTATTAATTCTTACAGCATTCCATTTCAAGGTAAATTAAGTTGCCACCTAACACAGCCATCTTGGACCACAAGGGGTACATTTTATAACATAAACAGCTCTGCTTGCAAAAACTGTCACCCTTAATTAGTTCCAGTCCAGATGTTAGATGTCTTTGGAACCCCTGGTTTCATGACTTGACATTTTCTGCTTATACAAACGACTATGCTCCTTTATTTTTTTTACACCCTGTGAACACTGAGAAAGGGCAAACAATGTGAACTGCTTATTGATCCATCCCCAGAGCGGCATAATTCAGCTTACAAATCACTGATCCTTTTATTTTTAGAAACCCATGCTTCTAATGTAGAAAAATAAATGCTGAATGATTTAATGCTTTTAAATAAAAAGGCGTACTCGGGTAAAGTAATATAGCAAGCATAATCTTAAAAAGGTAATTCACTATTAATACCAAGGGACAAATACACTAATTATCAGAATTATATAAATATACCATTCAACCATTGATTTCAGTAGCACTTTATACCTTACTAATTTCCCAAAATCCAGACAAACGTATTCTGTCTGAGGATTAGGCAGTGTTAATAAATCTCATATTTAAAGGAACACGTAAAAGCACCATAACAACTACAGCACACTGCCGCTGTGCCACGATAACTGTAGCACCCTCCCTGTATAATTAGTCAAGCCGTTTTATATTTTCATTTGGGGTCTACTGGGTGTTGGTCACAGCCTCTCTTGGAGTTGGTAAATTAGGGCTTAACTCATAGGCGTCGAGTGCTCACCTGACGCTCTCAGCCAATGAGCTGGCCCTAAAAAATAGAAACTCCTAGCAGAGATTTCCTGATCCGAGTGACTAGTGTCTGTATCTACTACAGTGCACTGTAATGGCTATGGCACTTGGAGTGTTCCTTTAACAGTCTCTTCAGTTTATGTTAGCAATAAACATTACTTCTTTTTATGTTAGTCTTTAATTTACATATCTGTTGGCAGTTAGGTCAGCTTTATACAAAGTATAAATCAAATGTATTGTTTGCTATGACTAGACTAGTTGTTAGTAACTGTATATATTACTGTTTTATTACATATGTAATTTAATTTCAAAATTAAAGATATACTCTATGCTGTAATTCACTTACAGGGTCAGTCACTAAAAAGTAAATTGTCAGGAATTCAAAATTCAAATATTAGGCTAAACTATCCAAACTGAAAATTTAGAGGACTTTGATAATTTTTCCAATTCACTTTTGCAGTAACATTTTACCTTCACAATTAAGTGAATAACCCTAAGAGATATATTCCCAACCATACCAGTGATTTCTAAATGTAAACACCTGCATGTATCCCACAATGCTAGTGGCTCGGGTCTAGAATGTTACATGTATTGCACTGAACAAAGAGGCAGCAAGGAGGTAGGTTTAAATGTATGGATTTGTTGACTTGCTTTATGCATAACTGCTTACGTTAACAAGTACTACCTGAATACTGGTTGTGTGCACACTTTAAATTGTCTGTACTCTTTTAATTTGATTATTTGTTTTTTGGCTTTCTTTATCATTTCAGTGGTGTAACATAGCCTAATAACATTTAACCCATTTATGGCTTATTGAAACCTGTAAGTGTCTGTGTATGTGTTTTGGTGGGCGTGTTTTTTTTGATTATTGGGGGATTATTTTATTGGGGATTATTTAATCCTTGGACCCAGGTATCATAATGTCTTGGACTGCTGTAAGTGGTACTAATGCATAGAGCTTCCCTTTAGTCAACACATGAGGTGCTTCATTTAAAGGGATACTGTAACCTCAAAACAACTTTAGTTTACTGAAATAGTTTGGGTGTATAGATCATAGATGCCCCTGTAGTCTCACTGCTCAATTTGCTGCCATTTAGGAGGTAAAAGGACACTATAGACACCATAACAACTTTATATTTTTGCGCATAGATCATGCCCCTGCAGTCTCACTGCTACATTTTCTGCCATTTATAAGTATTCTATGGTGTTACATTATAGCTCCCTCTGCCCTTGTAACACTAAGCCGATTCCAGCGTTGGCCTCCCTTGGCGCTAGGTCGGTGCTCCGCCTCCTTGGACGTCACCTGACTGATCGCCACTAGAGGCAGACTTAGTTCTGCAATGTAATCAAAAACTGCAATGATTTACATTGCAGGAATACGGGGTCAGGGACTGAGTGGTCTGGGTGCCTATAGAGTAACTTTAACCCCTTAAGGACAGAGCTTCAGAAGCTTGTCTTTCACTTAATGACAACAGCATTTTTTGCTGTTTACGTTCAACTGCAATTTGCATTTTACTAATTTATTGCACCGACACATATTATATACCTTCTTTTTAAAGGACAGAAAGGGCTTTAATTTGATGTAATATATATATATATATATATATATATATATATATATATATATATATATATATTATGAAAAATGCAAAAAAAATATTGGGAGTAAAATTGTGGGGGTTTTTTTTTTGGTTTTTGGCACACAAACTTATAACAAAGAAATTCTCATGTGTTCAGTTACATCTGCTGAGTAAAATGACACCCCCATTGTATGTCTTTGGCACTATTTCGTGAAGTTACAGTGCCATATAGGATACCTGTCCTTTTCAGTATTCACAGTAGAATTTTGAGAGACGGATTTAATGTGCCTATGCTTCCATTTGGGGTATTATAGTAGTTTGACTGTTCAAAAAACCCCCACAAAGGCCTACCATTTGTAAAAGTAGACACTCCAGGGTATCTCATAAGGTGCATATTGTGCCTTAACATGCCACCATTGTTTCACCAATATATGCCAAAGTATGTGGTAAAAAATTATTTTGTGCATTTTTTTTTACATACGGATTGCATTTTTGCTGGGCGTTTTGTATATTTCATATGTGCCACTAAGTTCAAACCCCCCAAATTATGCTCAGCTAAGTTTTCTGAGTAAAAAGACACCCCCAATGAATGTCTTTGGCACTATTTCGTGAAGCTACAGTGCCATATAGGAGACCAAGCCATATCAGTTTTCACCTAACTTTGAATTTTGACGCTGGGCCGGTGTGCAACTTCCAAGCATCTTCGCAGGTTTTAAATTCAAACTACCCCACAAAGGCCCTCCATTTCTTAAAGTAGACACTCCAGGGTATTTCAAAAGGTAAATTTTTCCGCTAACTTGTACCAAGTGTAGTGGTAATAAACGTTTTTTTCTTCCCTTTTGACACACAAAGTGAGTTTGCACAGTATATTTTGCAAACCTTATGTGTGCTACCAGTGTATAATACTTCATATGTTGCTCAGCTATGTCGGCTGAGTACAGCAATACCCCCGTATGTACCTTTGCAAGGTATATGTGGACATTGGAGGGGCACATTTGGGACACAGCCATTCCAGTTTTTTTCAAACTTTACATTTTTACACTGTGCCCATGTCCCATTTTAGAGTATTTTACCAGGCTATATAATCCAAATACCCCATAAAGCCATACCATTTCTTAAAGAAGACATCACAGGGTATTTCAAAAGGCATATTTTGAACCTTAGCGTGGGATCATTTTTCCGCTAGCTTGTACCAAGTGTAGTGGTAATAAGCGTTTTTTCTGCCTTTTTGACACACAAAGTGAGTTTGCACAGTATATTTTGCAAACCTTATGTGAGCTACAACTGTATAATACTTCATATGTTGCTCAGCTATGTGGTCTGAGTACAGCAATACCCCCGCATGTACCTTTGCCAGGTATATGTGGATGTTGAAGGGGCACATTTGAGACGCAGCCATTCAGTTTTTTTCTAACTTTGAAGTTTTACGCTGTGTCCATGTTCCAATTTGGAGTAGTTTAGACGGTTGGTTATTGAAACTTCTCCACAAACACATACTATTTACTAACCCTTAAGGACACACCGTCTGGAATAAAAGGGAATCATGACAGAATATTTCTGTCATGTGTCCTTAAGGGTTTAAAGAATACACCCTGGGATAATTCAAAAGGCATATTTTGAACCTTGGCGTGGGATTATTTTTTCTCTAGTTTGTTCCAGGTATAGTAGTACTGAGTGTTTTTAAATGTATTTTTTTTCTTTTTTAAACTTTTTTTACTTTTTAAAACTAGTTTTTTAAACTTTTGTTTTGCTTATTAATTTTCCTAAACTTTCTTAAAACTTTATTTTTTACAGGTTTAACATTTTTCTAAGCTTTTTTACTGTTAACCCCTAACTAGCAGTAAGCAGCACTAACAGTAAATTCCACATTTTCCCATAACTCCCACCCACCCCAGCTAGCAAAATATATAATTATAAAATATTTAAATTAGTTAATTAAATAAATTGAGCCCCTGAGGGTTAAAAAATAAATAAAAGTTAATCGTCAGGGGTTAAACAAAATTAGATCACAGTATAATACTTTGATCTGTATTTTGATTACTGTAGGCAGTGATCGACTGGCAGGGAAGGGGTTAATTTTTATTTGGACTGGCTAAAGGGGGGTGTTTAATTTTTTTACTTAAACGTTATTAAAACTTTTTTTAACTTAATTTTGAACTTTTTAAAGCTTTTTAAAACTTTTTTTTAATGTTAACCCCTAGTTAGCCTAACACCAAATCCCCCAATTCCCCACTAACTTCCACCCACCCCAGCTAGCTAAATTTATAATTTTAAAATACTTAAATTAATTAATAAAATAAATGTAACCCCTAAGGGTTAAATCAGATCATAGTAATAATCCCTGCCAATTGATGACTGTAGTCAGTGATCAATTGGCAGGGATTACATTTTACTATGATCTGATTTTTTTTTTTTTTTTTTCTAACAGGGACAAGATCAGTGATGATCCGTCTCCCTGCACTTCACAGTGAACCCGGAGGTCCAGGGAGGCGGAAGGTGAGTATACTGAGCACATGTGCTCGCTCTGACAGGCTGTCAGAGCGAGCGCCGGTGCTGGGGCAGCGAGATCAGGTGCTCCCGGTCTGCCTCTAATACAGAGGCAGACCGGAGCACCATTAACCCTGCGATCGCCGCGATCTGGGGGTAATTTTACCTCGTGACGGACAAGGTCCGTCACTTGTCGTTAAGGGTTTCCCCTGAGTGATGGACCTCGTCCATCACTCGTCATTAAGAGGTTAAATCCCTTTGTTTGTTTATGCAGCCCTAGCCACACCTCCCCTGGCTGTGCCTCACACTGCCTGCATGAAAATGTTTTTAATCAGATGTTAACTTACTTTATAAATGGAAATTAAAGTGCCAGGAAAACAAACTTGTTTTGCTGACACTACAGGTTCCCCCTGCATCAAGCTCTTCCTCCTTTCCCCTCGCCTGCGCCCCCAGTGATGCAGAAGGGTTAAAATGTAAAATGCCATTTTGTCACTTACATGGGCTCAGCGCTGATGTCCCTTGGCGTTGGCTTCGGTTCGCCTTTTCTCCATCCCCGCCGACCTAATGCGCATGCGTGGCAATGGCCGCACTCACATTAGGCTTTCTTCATAGGATGCGTTCCTATGGGGATTCCAGTGAAGCTGGAAGTCTTGGTGCATAGCATGAGGATAGCTGCAATAATTACCTTTACAGGGTAGGGGTGTAGGGACACTGCACCCAGACCACTTCCATGACCTAAATTGGTCTGGGTGCCTATAGTGTCACTTACGTCTTATCTCCTGCTCTGTAAATTGAACTTTAATATCACACACAGGAGGCTACTGCAAGGCTTAGTAAGCTATTAACAGAGCCGGAGAAAAGACATTCTAAATTAAACAGAATGTGCAATACGGGAAGTTTAAGCATTAGATATCTATTTACATGAAGGGTCTGTAAAGGCTGTGTATCTCACATGCAGGGAGGTGTGCCCAGGGCTGCATAACCAAAGTTTTTGAACTCCAAAATGACAGATAATTGAGCAGTGAAACTGGGGGCATGATCTGTACACCATCACGAAGCTAAAGTTGTTTAGTGCCTTGGCAATATGGCTATCTTGCTTATGAGAATTAGATACAGTATCCAAATCAGTTACGATTGTTATATAGTTATTTTGGCCTAATATCTGACTTTTATGTTTTTGTGAATGTACGAACATGCATCAAATTCACATATTATATATACAGGTGGTCCTCGTTTTGTGACTTAACTGTTTTACGATGGCTCGCACTTACGACCAGCTCTCTCGCGGAGTGGTAAGTGCGAGCCGTGGTGGGAATTAAAGAGATCCCTGCTCTTGTGCGTTCATCTATGCTCGGGGAAATGTCCCTGAACAAAGACATGCGCACCAGAGCAGGGAATCCCTCTAATCTATGCCCGAATATAGATTAGAGGGATTCCCTGCTTTCGTGTGTTCGTCTATGTGCGGGGAAAATTCCCCGAACATAGACAAGCGCACCAGAGCAGGGAATCCCTTAACTCTCTTACCGACTAATTTGTTCTATGACTGGGTCGTAGGAAAGGAACCCGGTCAGTAAGTGAGGAGTACCTGTAACATCAATGTCACTACAGAATATACCTAACAGACATGTAAATGCAGTAGTACAACTCTCTACGCAGTTATCAAGGGAGTCCTGGCTTTTTCTGGATAAAAGTACAGTATCCTTGCATTTCCAGTAATGGTGGAGTTAAATTTGGCTTATGTAGGATTCACAAGCGACAGTCAGAACAAGACATGACTAAGCGCTATGATTCCGCACTGTTAGAACCTGATAAATGTAACAATTATTCCAACCCACGGAACTGTTCTCAGAGCAAAGTTGCTGGGGTTTGACAAATATAGATTATTCAAGGCTTTTAAGTTATCGTGCTTACAACTGCTGCCTTCTCCTCTCATGCTGTAAACACATTTTCTACATTTTATTTTTTGGGGAGGGGGGATAAATTTACTTTCCGTGTTGCTGATGTATCTCTGCCTATTTTACAGTTTGCAGAAAATTAACTGCTCCACTGGTAATTATTTATAGTTTGTTTATGATTTACTATAAAGTGCTAAAGAGTTATTTAGGTAGGCATATGCTATTAACCCTGTGAGTGCTTTCCTGACATTTAAACATGATTATTTGGGAATTATTATTTTTTTTTTTTTTCCAAATGTGCACACCTTGTGTTTCAATGAGAATGGTGGTAACCCTGCAATTCCTTGGTGCAAATACCACACAAATTAAATGATTTGCCTATTTAATACACAAACATTTTTTTTTAAACGTTTTTTTTTTCTCTGCTCTATTCCATAACTCCCAACATCTCAAAAGTACTTGGAAGGATACCCACCTTTAAGGGACTCTTCTGAGACATTTTAGGTGACTTACTACTAATAATGTATGTACCGGTAACTAACATGCAATTTATAACAAGAATAATGGATCTTATGTACATAGATTGATTTCTAGCTATTTTATGTTTAGTGAATACATCTTACCCAGGGCTCGAGTCCTGCAGGAACGCATGGGAACGGCGTTCCTGCACTTTTTCCAAAGCAGGAACGCCGTTCCCGTTACCTGTCCTGCAGGACCTGCCCTGCTACCTGCACAGAGGGGCCATCACACGCTGTGTTCCCTCTCCAGCTATAACTCTCACGAGACCCGCGGCTGTTACCATGGCAACGCTCCGCACAGGCGAGTCTCGCGAGAGTTAGAGCTGGAGAGGGAACACAGCGTGTGCTGGCTCCTGTGTGCAGCGGCTGCCTCCCTCCACCGAACCACCAGGCGATCTCCCCCCTCCCTGACAAGGTAAGAAGCAGGGAGGGGGGAATAAAATAAATATTAAACACAAAGTAAGAAAAAAATGCTTCCCCCCCCCCACACATCATCCAGCACTCACACACCCATCATCCAGCACTCACACACCCATCATCCAGCACTCACACACCCATCATCCAGCACACACACACCCATCATCCAGCACACACACACCCATCATCCAGCACACACACACCCATCATCCAGCACACACACACCCATCATCCAGCACACACACACCCATCATCCAGCACACACACACCCATCATCCAGCACTCACACACCCATCATCCAGCACTCACACACCCATCATCCAGCACACACACACCCATCATCCAGCACTCACACACCCATCATCCAGCACACACACACCCATCATCCAGCACACACACACCCATCATCCAGCACACACACACCCATCATCCAGCACACACACACACGTCATCCAGCGCGCGCACACACATCATCCAGCACACGCACACACTGCATTCATTATACACACTCTTCACTCACTATACACACTCTGCATTTATTATGCACATTCTGCACTCACTACACACTACATTCACTATACACACTCTGCATTCACTACAAACACACTACATACACTGCATTCATTGTACACACTCTGCACTCACTAAAAACACACTGCATTCATTATACACACCCTGCACTGCACTATATGCATAGGAGTATAATTTTTTTTTTTAAAAAGGGGGGGGGGGAGGAGGAATCTTGGGTGAGTTCCCACACTTTTTTCCCCAGGACTTGACCCCTGATCTTACCCCATTGGAGTTAGCAGGAAAAAATACAGATAATTGTGATTGGATGCAACCTGACTTTAGCAGTTTGCAGTAAACTAATATAGTGGGTAAAAGCTGTAGAAATCCTTACTTCCATGGGAACAAAATTGCATAAAACGTATGTGCTTTTAGATAGGAAATGGACAACTACTAACCTCTTCCATGTTAAAAGAAAAGTAAATCTGGGGTTTTATTTATATTATTTAAACAATAAAATTAAGGGATTTTTGTCCCCAAATTTTTAATTGGGGAAAAAAATGACTAAACAATACTTATTTGTGAAAAATGTATAGCAGGGTTAGCCAAAAGATGGATTTCCAGCTGGTACAGAACAACTACCATAAGGCTGGTAAAGTCTCATGGGACTTGTAGTTCTAGAAAGCAGGGGGTCTACTTCCTGGCCCCTTTGCTTACACTATTCCAGTTTACCTCGTTTCAGTTAGTACATTTTCAAACCCCAAAATCCAAACTGAAGGAAAAAGAAGAAATTCTTCAACTCCGTAATCTTTCTGGCTGGTCTAAATATTGTAATTCTCTGTGGTCGATTTCTCCTGACTTCACAGTTTAATCAATAAATTCCTTGTTGTCTTATTCACAAAATACTGAATTGTGTTACATTTAAAACCAAACATTAGCTTGTTTTAGCCTACATTTTGCAATTCTGATTTTAATTATCTTAATGAATAAACCCTTTAGTGATCTCCTTTGGGACAATGAAATAATACACATTATACACATGCGCGGCTTGAGTCTACACCGCCTCATTACTGAGCATTCTGTGCAAGTGTGGATGGCTGGCTTGTTCTTAAAGACTTCTCCGTCAGCCATTGTGAATGTTCAGGGACATGACGTATGCTAGACGTAAACAGTTATATGTACTATGCAAATTGATTCGATTCAGAAAGAGAAGTTGTATGAAGCCAAGGCTATTTTCCTTGAAACAGAATTACACAATGTATCTAGTTCTCTTCCTCAAAGCAGTTTTTTTTTTTATGTTAAGAAAAAAAATTACATTTAGCCTGGGCATCAAAGGGCCTCCAAACCGTAATTCATTAGGATATTGCACAGTTGGGCACATGCAGCCTTCTGTCGTACTTTTTGACAGAAGATGAATTTATGGTTAGTACGCCGGTAATATTTTCTTAGTGAGACAATTTTAGTTATGGTAGAGAATAAAGTATTTTTATTATTTGTGGATTGACAAACAGAGCAGGTTCTTTAAGTTAAAGATGGTGGTGTTTAAGGTTTTTTTGCCAAATGGTATTTAAATAGTTAAACATCTGAACATTTTAAACTGCACAGTGGTTTGAAGACATGTGAAGCTTTGATAAATAATTCTTTTCTAGGTTTACTATTTAATACTTTTTTTTGTGTGTCACAGACCTAGCAGATGGTACAGAGGAATGCATTAGAAAAACAGCTCTGTTAGATTATTAATAGTGATGATTAGTAAGCAGTGTTATTACGCATGCAGACATCTCTTAAAGCACGACGTGATTCCAGAAAAACAAAGTCACTCAATAATACAGGGCTTGCCAGCAACACAGTCAAAGAGAAACTTCAGGTATCCGAGATTAAAAAAGAAGCTTGACAGAGCAGTGGTTCACAACCATCATTGACACCAAAAAAAAAAAGACCATTAACGACTCTCCTCTTTCTAAGGGCTTAGAATGGGTGTACAAGAGAATCTATATTTAATTTAAAAATTACAAACGTCCTTTTTTACTGAAGCTAAATTATTTTATAAATGCAAATGCTGTGTAGTCTGTAAAAGTACTGACATATCTGTACCATCCAAAACCTCACATTTTATATCTAATAAAACCAAAAAAAGTATATTAAAGATTTTATTAGTTACAGTGCTAAAAAATGTATTTATTTGTTGGAGTGCCCATGTGGCCTCCAATATGTTGGGATGGCCACAAGATGTTTAAAAATAAGATTACGCGAGCACTGCAGAAATATTGTAAAAGGATATCCAAATCATTCAGTTTCGAAGCGTGGTGATGATGGTGTGCATGTGACATCACGCAAGACACGCACGTTTTGGGGTCAAAGGCCGGTTACGGCCAATCGGATCTGCAAAAGGGTTATTTAACCCATTTCTCCTTTTACTCACAGCCCTGTCGTGGTTTCCTTTTGCTGGTTATCTGAGAGAGTGTTCCTGATAGTATTATTTCTGGTATTTGACTTTGGCTTTGTTTTGACGTCCCTGATTTCTGGTATCGTTGACTTTTTTAGCCTTCCCTCATCGTTGTGTCTCATTCTGTATCCCTGACCTCGGCAAGTATTTTGACTATTCTTGGATATGTTAAGTCCGACTGTTCTAAGGTCCAGTTAAACATTATCCTTAGTCCTAGGTGTGATATTATTCTGCGTTCTGGATCAACTAGTAATCCTGACCTCGGGTAAGTGATGGATTGGGGGAAGGGACACCAGTGGAAGGACAGGATGTGCTAAAAAAAAAAAAAAAAAAGTCAATAACACATGGACTTAACTAGCTGATAATCATTACCTTCAGGATTTTAGAAAATAATTCAGGACCTTATGTATGAAGTCAGAGTAGGCGGATGTAGTCCCTAAAAGTTTTTCATCTCTGCTGTATGTCCCATTTAGTCAGATTCACTATTACCACATGTGGACTATGATACATTAGAGAAAAGGGAAATGGCTACAGTCACAAAAGGGGTTAACTAGGTGTATTATTGCTGCCCACAGTGTGTTGGCTGCGCAAAGCATACAAAATGCACTGAGAAACGACAGTATACACTTTCCTAATGTCCAAAATGTCAGAAACCTGTGGTCTTGCTTCGAGACTGCACCCGTGAGTCATGAGAAGCCTATAGTCTTTCTAGCAGGTCATATCAAACTTCTCTCTGGTGGGATCCATACCATGGCCTTTGACAAATGTCATATTAAATCTTTTGCAGGGTGTTGCCAAATAAATGAGGAAGGGCTGCTTGCCGTTTGTGTTTGTGTATTCAGCAGTGAGTGTATGTATTCAGTATTCAGCGTGTGCATGTATTCAGCAGTCGGGGTGTGTGTGTATTAAGCAGCCTGTGTGTATTTAGCAGTCTGTCTTTTTAGCATTGTGTGCAGTTGTGTTTTGTGCTGCCCTAGGCATGACAAAACTCAGGCTGTCCCCCTCCCCTTCTAAATTTCACTTCCTTTTAAAAACCAATACGCTCTTTGCTTGGCAGACACACGCTTTTACTGAAATACTCACATTCACCGACAGACACACTAACTGACAGATACATATACTCACTGACACACATATACACTCAGTGTCAGACACACATATTCGCTAACAGACATACACATTGACTGACAGACACACATTCACTAATAGACATACACTCTCATTGACGCACACTCTTTGACATACACACACTCACTATCAGACAAACAAACACACTCGCCAACCGACACACAGACTAACACACTCACTGACAGACACATACACACTCTCACTGACACACTCTCACCAACAGACACACACACACACTCACAGACACAGATACACTAACACACTCACCGACAGACACACACTCACTAACAATTATTATTTTTTTAAATTTGCAATCCATCCAGCCTCTATACTTTTGCTGGAGTGGATTCCCTGGGGTCCAGTGGATATCCTTTTAATTGCTGGAGGGACAAGAGTGCAGTTAATGCAGGCGCGAGGGAGCTCTGATCTCCCTGCTCAGCTCCCTCGCACGCCTCTTAATGGTGCCGGAGCTGGAGTGACAACATATTCCGGCTCTGGCATCACTGTGGGGGCGCGTTAAGGGAGCTGAGCAGGGAGAGCTCAGGGGACAGTGCTCCCTCGCCGCCTGACCTCCAACATCAGGTAATGCCAGCCGCGGGGGGTCGCTGGCCCCCCCAGGACAAGAGGCTGTAAAACTATTTGCCGGGCCATTTGGCGGCGGCTTTTTTTGCTGCCCACCTGAAAGTGCCGTCCAAGGCAAATACTTTGTCAGCCTCATGGTAAATACAGCGTTGATTGTGTGTATGTATTCAGCAGTCTGGTGGAAGAATGGTGAGAGAAACAGAACCACAATATTCACCTCTGTTATAAATGGCATGTACATGCATTGTTATATACTATATACACACAATAACATACACACACTCCCAATATAGGTAGTTATTTTCTCCTTCTAAATGTTTTCATTCTCTTATGTATGTCGTGTCTTGAGATGTCACGCATATATAATTAGTTATGCAAATTAGCATGGCTGGTATTTTTTTTTTTTTTTAAAGTGGCAACCCTATATGTAATAAGTGTGTTTACTTATTATTGCCATTTATATAGCTTGAACAGATTCTGCAGTGCTTTACATTAATATGAAAGGGGGAATTAAACTATAAATAGGACAATTACAAGAAAACCGACAGGAACGATGGGTTCAGGGCCGGACTGGGGATACGAAGCAGCCCTGGAATAAAAAATCTATGCCAGCCCCATAAGTCATTGTGCTATGTAGGGTGTTATATTACTTTTTATATATATTATTGATACATTTTATTTATATATTATTGATACATTTCTTCTTCTAATTCAAAATATTAGTCCTTTCAGGGTAATGAAATTATACAGTAAAGCATACTCACACACAGACAATCTTACTGATGCACACAAATAGGCTCATTGACAGACAATCTCAATGACACACACAGACAAGATTACTGGCACACACACAAATTTAGTACAGAGAAACTCTGATACACACACAAGCTTACTACAGACAAGCTCACTGGCACACACACTCACTACAGACAAGCTCACTAATGCACACACACACTATTCCTACAGACAAGCCCATTGACACACACATGCTCCCTATAGAAGAGCTCAATAACACACAGATTCACTACAGACAAGCTCACTGACACACATATGGTCACTACAGACAAGCTCACGATCACACACATGCTTACTACAGACAAGCTCACTGTACACCCATGCTCACCACAGACGGGCTCCAACACACCCATGCTCCTTACAGACAAGCTCACTAACACGCGCACACACACATATGATCCCTACAGACAAGCTCACTGACACACATACAAGCTCACTCACTAGCAGGCACACACACAAATTCACTAGCAGGCGTGCACACACAGAGGCTCCCTCACTAGCAGATGCGCGTGCACACACACACACACACAAACACAGAAGCTCGCTCTCTCTCACTAGCAGATAGCCACACACAGAGGGTCACACACACAGTCACACACAGTCTCTCTCACACACACAGGCAGCCACACACACACAGTCACACACAGGCAGGCAGCCACACAGTCGCAGGCAGCATCACACACACACACACACACACACACAGAGGCAGACAGCCTCACACAGAGGCAGGCAGTCTCACACAGAGGCAGGCAGTCCAACACACACACACACAGTCACTAACTCCAAGGCAGTCACACTGTCCTGCTTCTTACCTCCACATCTCTTGGAGCTCCTGGAGGCTGGTTGTTGGGGAAGCAGGGACTCCTCCTTGCTTCCCATGCAGCGGTTACCAGGGCCGCACACTAAGCCCCGCCCCCACCGCACGATAGGTTCCGCCCCACCGCACGCTAGGCCCCGCCGCACACTAGCTCCGCCCCACCACATTTTTTTTTTAATGATCCCGGCCGGCCATGTGTGAGCTGTGCCGGCCGCCTTGCTCCCCCTGCTTCCACGGGGTTCTGTGCGGCCGCACAGCTCACACAAAGCCGGCCGGGATTACAGGTGCCTGATCACTGATTAGGGCGATCAGCCCAGCCCTAGGTGCCGCGGCCCACCGGGAAATTTCCCGGTATCCCGGTGGGCCAGTCCGGCCCTGGATGGGTTGAAGAGGGCCCTGCTCAAACGAGCTTACAGTCTATAGGAGGTGGGGTATAAAACACAATAGGACAGGAAGGAATGAAGCAGATCTGGAGGAGAGAGTAAAGTGCTGCCCTTTAGGAGAGAGCAAAGGTAGGATGAAAGAGGTAAATTATGGTTGAACAGATGTTGAACTGCTCAAATTCTAAGTTAAATTTTGGATTACTAACTTAAATAATTGCTTCCAGAGGCATAACTAGAAACCACCAGGCTCCAGTGTGAAAATTGCCTTGACTCTTCATGTGACTCATTCACCCACCAAGCCCCTACATGTCTCATTCTTTCCCCCCCAAACCCCACCATGTGTCCCATCTCCCCCAAGCTCCTTCATGTGTGTCACCCCCCCAAGCAAGCCCTTCCATGTTTCCCATCACCCCCAGCTCTTCCATGAAAATAATCCCCTCCTTGTGTCCGATCCCGTGCACCTAGCAGGTTGGGGGAGGGGGCACAAATATGTAATTCTTACTTTTTACACACAAACTCAAAATGGTACTTGCAATTAGTTATTCAATGTTGTGGAAAATCCATGAGAAGTGTGACAGTTTCCTCGGTGTACTTCTCTTGAATTTCTGAAACAAATAATGCAGTTTGCTCAGAAAAAACCCCACAGAAACTTAGTAGCAATTAAGCAAAATCTCAGTTAAGTCTAACACAATTTCCTACATCTCTCAAGGTAGAAAAATGCGAGTCTGAGTACACTTTTTTTTTTTTTTTTTTTAACAGAGTTGTGGATAGTAAGTGTGTCCAATAATTCATAGCCAGCTGTTAATTTTCATTCTTCCAGATTTTCAGTGAAACCTCCTTTCTGAGCTGGTGTCTGCTAATCAAAAAAAAAGTACTTTTACTACTTGCTGCATCATAAAGCTCCCCAAAAGCCTAAAATCTCCCCATGCTCATCTGGCCGTTGTTCCCAACATTTGTACTAAACAGGTTCGCCATCCATTTGTTGTGTTATAAAATGTTCACTGAACTACACATTTTCCACTTTCTTCAATGAGAATAGTCACACGTAAAACTTTGACTAATGGTTAAAGGGACACTTTGCATTGTATGAAGATTATGTACTTTATTTATTTTTTAAATGCAGTTCTCAATAGACATTGGCACTTTTTTTAATATAAATTAACATTAATATAAATTAACATTACAACCTCATGGAAGTCAATTAGACAACCGGTCCTGCTACTTCCTGGTTTGGTTAGCTCAGTTGCGCTAAACTCAAGAGGCAGCAATTGCTCAGAGCACCTGCCTTGCAAAGACTTCTCATTGAGCTGCATTGGGAAGTTTGTGATCAGACAGCCACAGTCTGGGCTTGATTAGACCAGGAGGGCTTGCAAAGGCAGCAGACAGGAGATGTGCAGCTTTTTGCAATGAAATAATGCACAAATAGATGCCATATGTTTTCATTGTGGGTGTATATACTAAATAGAGATGTCGCTTCAACATGGATGCTGTCCAGGAAGTAGGAGGGTCTGGGAGGGAGGGTCTGCTGGAGATTGGCCGGGATGTGTCAGCTGCCCGGAGTTCGCCACGAACGGTTCGTGGCGAACCGTTTGCGAGAAGTTCGCGGACGGTTTGCGACATCTCTAATACTAAACTGTAATTTTATTTTATTTCGGCAGTGGAGTGTCCCGTTTTATAAACTTGTATTTCAACACAATTGTTAATATAGTTCAGACAATTTAACATTTTTAACGCTAAGCTCATTGCTCTGAACTTGAGTTTCCCAACAATTGAAAACTAAAGAAGGTAGGGTAGACCTATTTTAATTGACAAAGGAGAAGCAGATTCAACTCTGTAAAAAAAAAAAAAGCACAAAATGCTCTGCTGAGACTGCCCTCACTCCACCACTTATAATGATGTCTCTTCACATACTACCCAACACACTTCTGTAACTTCTATCACACTCGTCACTGGCTGCAGCTCCTCTTTAATCAGTGGGCTGGCTATGATCAGCAAAGAGATCCCCTTTTAGTATTTTAATCAGACCCTGAACATAAAACCTGGATTAATGTCACACACTGACCCCAGCCTGGGGTTCTATAAACATTACAAATTGGAGGTGAGGCATCACATGATCCCATCCATGCCTCAGGGTGCTGTGCAATCACCTCTGGTGCCATCCACCTAGTTGTATGTAATCCTTTTTAGATATATTCAAAAGGAATCAAATGGCCAACTTGTCATTTGATTCTAATGGACCCACAGGGACTCATTTAGGTCCTGCCTGGAAAGACCATGTGCCAAAAAAAAATAAAGGTAAAGATGTATATAGACTAGAGCACAGGGGCCCAAAAGGTAGATCCCCCAGATGTTGTAGAATTACAACTACTCCGAATGCTTTTAGAATGGCCAAGCCTCATGGAAGCTGTAGTTTTATTACATCTGGGGATCTTTTTTGGGGCACCCCTGGACTAATCGATCACAATTATGCTACCCTAGATATGATTACAGGGTCTGAAATATTGGTATACAAGCAGAAATTGTCACATACAGCAGGTATGCTCAAAATATGTCACCTTCGTAATCTTACTAAGAGTCATACATCTTGCTTACGTGTATTTCTATCAATGCAGCTTAATAAAAACACAAAAAAATAATATCAGTCAACATGTAGTGTTGGAGGATTAAACTATACAAAGGTATACAAGATGCAAACCCTGTACAAATCCGTTCTATACCAATAAATATTGAGATCTCCCTCTAGAATGCATGAATACAGTTCCATATTTAAACTTGCTTACTGTATGGGAAGACGTAATGGAATGCTGCCATTTACAGTTCCCTTTGCAGATATGTATAAAGATCAAAAGAGAAAGCTGCCTACCTCCCCCGAGGTTCCTTAAGAGCTTACGATGGAATATGTAAGGCAGTGGCACAAGCATTTCTTACAGCTTACCTTTTTAAACTTGCAGTGTAGCTGCTATAAGTTTAGACAAGTTATATAAATGGAAGGTAATGCCAAACCGCTCCGCCAGACGTTCGGGCGTGCTATGCTGTCCTACAAAAGGAGGGCTTTAACAACGTTGCGGTGGCATAGCATGCTATAATGATTAGGCCCTCCTGTGGGGGACTGTCTTACAACCAAGGCAGTTCACCTGCACCCAATCCAGCCTACCTGAGTCATGTGATGTGTTTTATTCAGTGGTGTATTTAGGATTTGTGCTGCCCTGGGCAGGACGGTGCTCGGGCACCCCCCTTAATTTAAATTTTCCCCACTCCTTCCAGTGAAGGCTTCACTTTGACTGACAGACGCACACACTCACTGATAGATGCATACACTTATTGACAGACACACACTCTCATATACACTGACAAACAATGACACACACACACATACTCACTAATTTGACACACTGATAGACAGACACACACTATTACTCGGACACACACTGACAGACGTACACTCTCACTGACAGACGCACACACTCACATTCACTAAGACACACACTCATAGTCACACACACACATACACACTCATAGACTCACAGACACACACACCACACACACACATTTACTCACAGACACACGCACACAAATTATTTCTTATTTTAAATCCACCCAGCCTCCCTTACCTGTCCAGTAGGGCTGCTGGGCGGGCAGGAAGGGGATGGACAGGCTGAGTAGGCGGCGAGGGAGCTTTGATTTTCCTGCTCAGCTCCCTTGCGTGCTCCTCAGTGATGCTGGGAGCCGTTCTGACATCATATTCCGGCTTCATTAGGCGGCACGGAAGGAGCATGAAGAGCTCAGGTGAGTTTGCTCCTTTGCTGCCCACCGCCAGCCTCGGGGGGGGGGGGCCCAAAAGTGGTCAACCGACCAGCTCTTGAGCCCCCAGAACACGTGGCAAGCAAGGGATCTGCCTGGGCGTTCGGGGCGCTTTTTTTGCCGCCCCCTGCAAAGTGCCGCCCAAGGCAGATGCCTTGTTTGCCTCGTGTAAGATACGTCCCTGGTTTCATTCCCCACCTCCTACAGACTGTAAGCTTGTCTGAGCAGGGTCATCTTCAACCCATTGTTCCTGTAAGTTTTTGTAATTGTCTCATTTATTGTTAAATTTCCCCCTCCTATAATATTGTAAAGCGCTATGGAATATGCTGGTGCTATATAAATACCAATAATAATAAGGTGATCGCAATGACACCATGATCACATAACTCAGATCAGCGTGATTGACAGATTTGAGATGTCAGGCAGATTCCTCAATATATAATTAATAAAAACATCTAAATATGTAAAATAAGATTGTGTGTGTGTGTGTGTGTGTGTGTGTGTGTGTATATATATATATATATATATATATATATATATAATATATGCATGCATTTATGTTTTCATATATTTTTTTTTTTGTTCTTTATGATAAGCACATTAAAGGGATACTATAGTCACCAGAACAACTACAGCTTATCAGCTTATTGAATTTGTTCTGGTGAGTAGAATCATTACCTTCAGGCTTTTTGCTGTTAACACTGTCTTTTCAGAGAAAATGCAGTGTTTACATTACAGCCTAGTGATAACTCCACTGGTCACTCCTCAGATGGCTGTTAGAGATCCTTCCTGGGTCATGGCTGCCTAAAATGCATCCAAACATTCAGTATCTCCTCCTGAACTTTCCTCATAAAGATTCATTGATTCAATTCATCTCTATGAGGAGATGCTGATTGGCCAGGGCTGTGTTTGAATCATGCTGGCTCTGCCCCTGATCTGCCTCTTTGTCAGTCTCAGCCAATCCTATGGGGAAGCATTGTGATTGGATCAGGCTACCACTTCTGATGATGTCAGCAGACTGCTTGTTTTCTGAGTCAAATAGCATGCAGAGTTACAGCTTCAGGCTTGAATACAGTAAGATTTTGCTATATTTATGGAGGCATGAGGGATCCAGGGGGACTAGAAGGTGGTTTTAACCCCTTTAAGACCGCAGGGCATTCTATGCTGTCCCTATTTTGGTGGCTCTAAACGCCGCAGGGCGGCGTAGAATGCCCTACGATCTTATGTACTTACCCAGTCGCCGGCGATCCCACACCGGCGATCACTGTATGGGCACTTACCTGGGAGCCCAGGGAGTCCCCCTCCTTCCTCTTCGGCCCCCCTGGGCCATGTGATCGCGAGGCCCTTGCGAGGACCTCGCGATCACATGGACGGCATAGCTGTCCAAGGCATTGCCAGCAGGGGGAGTGCCTGTAATGACAGGTACTCCCCCTGCTGTCTAAAAATAAAATAAGTTAATACAGTGTAAAAATAATATATACTTAGATCATATATATATTATATATATGATCTAAGTGTGTGTATGTATATATGTGTATATATGTATGTATGTGTATATATGTGTGTGTGTATGTATATATATATTGATGTCCCCAACTGTTCGCCGAATGGTTCGCCGCGGATGCATCATTGAGTAAACTTTGACCCTGTACCTCACAGTCAGCAGACACATTCCAGCCAATCAGCAGCAGATCCTCCCTCCCACCTCCTGGACAGCTCACTAAGAATGCAGCTTCACAATGGATGCTGTCCAGGAGGTGGGATATTATATTATATTATATTATATATTGATGTCCCGAACTGTTCGCCGAATGGACATCATCATTGAGTAAACTTTGACCCTGTACCTCACAGTCAGCAGACACATTCCAGCCAATCAACAGCAGACCCTCCCTCCCAGACCCTCCCACCTCCTGGACAGCTCCTGGATAAATATCAAAATACACGTACAATGATATTAAAAATATATATATATATATGTGTGTAAATACATAAAAAATAATAATAAATACATGTAGAACGAAATAATATATATATCTATATACATAAGTATATACATATATCACTATATATTTATATCTATATATAGATAAAAATAATTTTGTAAAATAAAAAAATAAAAAAAAAAATATATATATATATATATATATATATATATATATATATATATATAATTCTACTACTGCTTTCAATGCTTTCCTATGGGGATTTTAGCAACGCTGGAGGTCCTGTAGCACAGAAAACCCATGCTATGAAGCAGGACGTGCCCTCTAGTGGCTGCCTAGTAGACAGCCACTAGAGGAGGAGTTAAACCATGCAAGTTAATTATTGCAGTTTATGAAAACGGCAATAATTACCCTTGCAGGGTTAAGGGTAGTGGGAGTTGGCATCCAGACCACTCCAATGGGAAGAAGTGGTCTGGGTGCATGGAGTGTCCCTTTAAGGCAAGAGATAATCGCCCTTCACAAACAAGGAGCAGGATACAAAAAGCGCAAGCACAGATTGTTCCTAGAGACACATTTGGAAGCATAGTTAGCAAGTTCAAAGTTGAAGCAACAGTGTTTACACTACCTGGGTGGGGAAGAAAAAGGAAGCTATCAATGGCTGCAACCAGATTTTGACCTGCAGCAAGACTTGGAGGCAACAGGCACTGAGGTTTCAGTTAGGCGCGTACAAAACGCAGAACTTTTCCATGCCAGAACTCCAAGATGTACACCACTAAGGACTCAAAAGCACAAGAAAAGTTGGCTCCAATATGCTCAAAATCATGTAAGTAAGCCGGATTGGGGGATTTTGTTCTGTGGAGCAATAAAACGAAACTGGAACTTTTTGGCCTAATGGATCAGAGGTATGTCTGGAGGAAGAATAATGAAGCATACACTGAAAAGAACACTCTGCCTACAGTTGAGCATGGTGGTGGCTCAGTGATGCTCTGGGGCTGCTTTGCATCCTCTGGCACTGGAAACCTGCAGCGTGTAGAACGCAATACAGATTAATTGAAGAATCAGGAAATGCTAGAAGCAAACGTCATGCCGTCTGTGAGGAAGCTCAAGCGTCATTGGACCTTCCAACAAGACAATGATCACAAGCATACTTTAGATTCCACCAAGACTCGGCTGCAGAAGTAGTTCTGAAAAAATTCTACAGTGGCCATCAGTTGCCTGAAGAAAATTTCTGGTGGGATTTGAAGAAGGCGATTACAACACACAAACCCAAGAATATTACTGAACTTGAGGAAATTGCTCAGGAATTCTACCAGAAGCTGGTGTCTGGCTATGCATCTCGTTTGCAGCAGGTCATAACAGCAAAAAGGTGCTCTACTACATACTAAAGAGACCTAAGAGTACTAAGTACTAAAGATGCTTGCCATGAAGGGTTTGAATAATTTTGAGACTGGAGAAGTCAGTATAAGTTGCATTTTCAGCTGAATTCGCGGGAAATCATATATATATATAATTAAAAAAATACTCTTATGTACTTGCATATCAAGAAATCCTTCTTGGGCACATATGATTTCTCAAATTTGTGCGCTCAAACTAGGCTTCTAAAGTACAACTTGTGATATGCAGGTAATACATAACAGTAATGTTTGTAGCTGCACTGTGGGGAATTTTATTATGTCTGGTCTCACCACAAACTTTTTGTCACCTTGCTATATGCTTTCAGAGAGACTTCAACATCTAGACCAGACATTATTATTTTTTTAATTTTTTTTATTTGCACTGTGGAGAGTTTTATTGTATTTGGTCTCCCCACAAACCTTTTATTGAATGTATAGTCTATCTATCCTCATGTATATCTTATATGCCGCTACATTACATTGTCATTGCTCTCTATAGTTTATACATATTTGTTGCAAATGCATGTTTCATTATCATTGGTCACCAACACCCGTCAATCAAAATAACTGCGTGAAATTCAAACATTATAGCCAGTTCCTGTCTGCTGCCAAAGGACAGCATTCCTGTTGTATGTTTGCAGAAGCTTAAAGGACCACTATAGGCACCCAGACCACTTCAGTTCAATGAAGTGGTCTGGGTGCCAGGTCCCCCTAGTTTTAACCCTGCAGCTGAAAACATAGCAGTTTCAGAGAAACTGCTATGCTTACACTGCAGTGTTAATCCAGCCTCTAGTGGCTGTCTCCCTGCCACCCACTAGAGGCCGCTTCCACGATCGCACTTATCTGACACTGAACGTCCTCACGGAGTCCAGGGTCAAATAAGATCCCCATAGGAAAGCATTAAGTAATTATTATTATTATTGCTTTCCTATGGGCGGGTTTGAATGCACGTGCGTGTCTGGCCGCGCATGCGCATTCAGCTCCACTCGGGAGCTGACATCGACAGGAGAGAAGAGGTCACCAGCGCTGAGGGAGCCTGGCGCTGGATTAATGTAAGTGGCTGAAGGGTTTTTTGCGATTAACCCTACAGGAGTTTTAATCCACTCAGCACCGAGGGAGGGGGCCCCGAGAGAGGGGGGCTCTCCAAGAGCCTATAGTGCCAGGAAAACGGGTTTGTTTTCCTGGCACTATAGGATACCTTTAATAAGTCTGGATGTTCAACTAAAGTTTACCGGTTTCCTGATAATCCTTAGATGACTCAAATATTGCACCTACATACCACGTAACCCTAATATTGCATCCAGGCAAGATGGAGGGACTGTGGTGGGGAGGCTGTTACTTTGCCAGCCTCCCTTTTGTTCTTTACGATAAGCAGATTAAATGTGAAATTCTCTGACTACAGTGGTTATCATTAGATTCTATAGATATTTAATACAATGGCTTGGATGCATTTTTTTTTTTTTTGCATAAACAGAATATTCAAGCTACAGATGTACTCTGCCCCCCCTCTTTCCAGTTCAGTTGACTGTGAGAACATTGCCTTTTCATCTGTGACCCACAAGGAAGTTTACACCTGTCGCTTCCTTAATATTGTAAACAGTTATCACCCCACCTGTACAGCTGCAGGAGGTCTCTGCAGAGCCACTAGTGATGCTGCCTTGGACCACCAAAGGCACCTATTGCAACTGAAATCAGAATCAGTGTTCTCACAACACCAGGGGTTCCTTGCATGTATTGCTCTGTTGAAGTTTTCAACCTGTGATAATGGCACTCCAGGTGTTCATAAAGCACACTTTCCATAATGATTATGAGAATTGTAGTTCAGAAATATCTTGGGCGTCCGCATCACTGTTCTAATGGGTTTTCCAACATCTTTTTAATTTTACTGCATTTAGTAACGGATTTATTTAATATGCATATGGAAAAAAATATATATTAGGTGCATTTGGGCTGAGAAAATACCTCAATTAGGTGTTCTGAAACTCTCACGTCTAATAACCCCAAACATAATTGCACCATTTTGTGTACAATCAACAAAAAAGCATTATATTTAAAGCGGCTAGGAAGGGCTCCCTTAATTATGTTACACAATTTAAGCAATGTGTTGTACTAGTAAAAATAATAATAAAACAATAAAAAAAAATTCATGTTGTGTCTGTTTTATATATTTTTTTCAGTAATAAACATGCACACTTTAAAACATTTTTCAGATTTTGATTCAATAACAGAAGTGTGTGTAATGTCCAATCCTATGCACATATCTTACTGACCAGCATACCTGTAGTTACCCCCAATCGTGCGAACTTCACAGATGTACAAGCACATATCTTTAACATTAAATATATATATATATATATATATATATATGAAATATGGCTTTCCTATTTTTTGCACTTTTTTTTATGTTTCCACCACAAACCTGCTCTTATGTATATACATATCTTGACTTATTTGGTAATTTGTGGACTGACAAGGGAATGGGAATTTTTAGAGCAAAATTACCAAACTGGGAAAATTCTTCATTTTGGCCTTTTTATCTCCGCAGCCTGGATATTTGGCTTACAATTTAAAGGTCCATCATCCATTCAACACAGTTACAAGTTTGGAGAATACATACATTTATCTCTCAAAACCATACCCACCCAATCTCTCTGAATAGCACCTTCGCTGATCTCTGGAACCACCCCTTTGGAAAAACCGCTGAGTTATTTTGATGCTATCTGTGTAATACAATGTCTGCTTTTTTTCTATGCTTTTTCTTGTTTGTTGTTGAACAGAATTCCCCTTTAAGGAGTACATACAAAAATAGAAAAGTGCCCTACAGGGTATGTTCGGGTTAGTGCAGCTATTCACTATGGCTGTCATGTTTCTCTAATTAAAGTCTTCTTATAAAAGACAACGCCATACGTTTGCAATCGTCAGTAAAAAGGTGCTTAAAAAATAAAATATATCTAAAAAGTCTCTCTGAATTACACTATATATATTCTTTCCTATCATCTTTTGTAGAGAGTGGACTGAGTGTTGCATATTAATATACCTGCCATTTTATTTTAATTCATTCATAATATATTCTAGTATATAGGTTGTTCATATAGTACTGTGCAGTGTTTATAGTGTTTATAGATCCTGTTAAACCCACAGTACACACTGTCAATAAGCTTTACTCAAATCATTATCTAGTATGTAAAAGACCTTTAGTTTGATTTGGGGGTCACTTAAGTGTTTTTGGGCAATTTTTTTCTTCTTTTTTTTTTTTTTTAACCCAAATAACTCTATGCACTGGACCACCATATTGTTGGACTTTAACCCCTTAAGGACCAAACTTCTGGAATAAAAGGGAATCATGACATGTCACACATGTCATGTGTCCTTAAGGGGTTAAATGAGAAACTGATGCATGCTAAGATACAAACTAGTTTCCACAAGATTAATTTCACCCCAACAGTATACCCTCCCATCAGATCCGCATATACCTGTATCAAGCCTGCAAGTGTCAGGAGACCTATTTTTCAATCTATTGCAATGTATCACACTTTGTCACAGAGAGAAGGGGTTACAGTATACCTTAGGGATCTATACTGTGCTTCCTTAATAATCCTATTGGCAAAATACAGTATCCACTCCACACATGCATACATTTCTGTTTTAACTGTTTGTGTGCTAGGTTACTTGCTTTTATAAAGTCCTGTTTAACTATTTAGGAGGTGATCTCTGTACGAAGCAGGTGCACAGGGTATAAAAGGATGAGAGCTTGGACACATGCTGGGAACTAGCACAAGCAGATTCTTACCTGAGCTGTTATACAAAGTGTCTCTGTCCTCTGTGACCAGGACAGTCCTTGAGAGGTCCAGTACTGAGGCAGTGGATAGCTGCATATTCCGGTCGTCATTCACCAGTGGGGGTACATAAGGAGAGAGGCAGACCAGACCCACACTGAGCACACTGTCACCTGCTGAAAGGGATCTCCTCTGTCTGCTAGCTCCCCCAGCTCTTTAAAGGGTTTAAAAGGCTCTCAATATCTTCTCTCTGCATGCATGATGAAAGAGACACAGCCTGGACCAGATCTCGTCCTGCTATGGCATTGATCTTTAGAATCTCAAATATAATCTTTCAAGAAGTGAAAGATTTGTGTTGCCTGTTTCAGACAGCTCCCAGTGTATAGTGTATTATTGTGTGCTGCAGGGAGATGATGCTCAGGGGCGCCCTCTACTGTGCAATCCCAAATACTGCTCGTGTCTCACATTGGAATTAAGCTTCCCACGGCCACCTCAGGCACACAGGAGACGTGTATTAATCAGGCAGGCACCCTGCCAGGGAGCAGGTTTTACAGGGAACTCTCATCATTTTATTCTTTCATTTCACGAGTAGAAATGGGGGTATTTATCACCAGGTTGTGCAGAGAAGGGTTTCTAATAAACTGTGCTAATGGTTAGGGGTAGATAGACCGCTCCAATGGATGCTTATTTTTTCAGTGTGTTTTGCAGTGACCGTGTTTAATTACTGCTTTATTGTGGACAAAAGGTAGAATACCCACGCTGTTTTAGAGAGTGCTTCAGAAATACTCTGCAAATATGCAGCCCTAATTGCACACACACACAAGACAATTTTTTTATTTTTTTTTGGAACAGGTTCTCATCACCACTTCCGACTTCAATGGGAGAGCCTCTAACTCCCACAAGCCTCAATCAGCAGACTGGACCCAAAGTAAGCCACCCTCTTACAACCAAAATGTAAACAGGAGGATGGCTAAGGAAAATTAACATTTTGCATTTGTGTCTGTATGTGTATCTGTGTGCTTGTACATCTGTCTATGTGTGTCTGTGATTCTATCTATGTGTCTGTATGTTTGTGTAAATGCATGTGTATCTGTGTCTGTGTATCTGCATGTGTGTTATTGTGTGCATCTCTGTCCTTGTGTATCTCCATGTGTGTCAATCTACATGAGTATTTGTATGTGTGTTGCCTTTGTATCTGGTGTGTGCCAGTGTCTGCACATGTGTGTCTGTGTACCTGTCTGTGCATGTCTGTGTATCTGCATTTATGTACATGTGCATGTGTGTATCTGTATGTGTCAGTGTGATTCTTTATGTGTGTCTTTGTGTGGATGTTTATTACAGTAGTGTGTGTATGTGCATACATCTCAGCATTCAGACACTACATGCAGACACACCCAACACTACATACAGTCACATCCTTACATTCAAACACTACACATAAGTAAACCACTGCTTTCAAATGGCAACAGTACACAAAAACAGACACTACACACAAATACATTCACGCACACATACTCCATACAAAAACATGCTTAAAATTTAAATACACAAATACTGCACCATGTTAAACACAATGCTGCAAGAACGGGCAACTAATAGAATCCCAGATGGATGGGGGTCTACCTTTTGGCCATTATTGTCATAGGCAAGTCCCAAATAGTCTAGCAGCACGACCTTCTGTTTTTTTAGTTCCCCAACTGATTCCTACATCTGACTGTTAATGCTTGGTAGAAGTTGATTATTTTAGATGACATCTTGATTGTGCAAAGTGCTGCTGCAGGTTCCTCAAGCTTTAAAAAATTAGTCAAACTCTTTTATCAACTTGGGGATCCTTGTTGCAGCCAAAAATCGCCAGAGCTCCTGCATGTAATTTGCCTTCCTTGTTTTTTGGTTACATTCTTGGACTACGGAAGCAAGACTTCCAAAAGACAAGCTTGAATGCTGGCCATGAACCAACTATTTCTGGCACTACTTGATGGCTGCTAGTATAATCAATAAATGTTGTCAAAAGTTTAAATCCTCTTTATCTAGACCACTATACTTCCTTCCCAATCTCCCCAACAGTGTTGGATTTGACATGGATGCTCAATCACAAACTTACATGTGGTCCAAGTTACTTAGTGTTTGGAACCATGTTAATGTTTCCTGCATTGTTGTTCAATCCAGAGGGCCTAGGCTGTTGCTTAAGAAGGTTCAGGATTTACAGCCATCCACACAGCCTACTATATAGGTGAGAAACTTGGGCAGTGTCAGTAAAGCTGAGAAGTGGAGTGCTCGAGCACTGATTTGGCCATTAACGGTGGGACAGCCAGGGTTATGCAGTATTCAACTATGGTGCAAAATGTTACTACACAAAACGAGGGGAAGAGCCAAGCAATGGGGGGAAGGGGTGCAGAAATAATAATTATAGAACTATTAATTATTAAATAATAATGAGAAATAATGTTGGGCTGATGGGTATTACTCTTAGATTTCACACAGGTCACCCAAAGGCTTCATGCTGGCCTTGCTTATAAACACATCTGCTTATTCCCTTTTCTTGTTTCAGTTGCTGGACTTTATCAAATGTCGCCTACCAGCGGTAGTCCACTTCACACCCCGTCCAGCGGTAGTCCACTTCACAAGCTCCTCTTTTTTAGGTTTACCATAAGTTGGTTTTGGGATATCTCTGCAGATGCTTTCATATATACCTAATGCATATCCTCTAAATAAGTGCTCCCAGTGTTGTTGACCAAAAACAAAAGGACCTGGACACCTATCATAAGTATTCATAACAAAAAGCAAATCCACCCAACAGTGCTAGATGAAATGACATACAATATTAACTTGGCTTATAAAGGAACAGCTTTCCCAGGTAGCCTTTTCCAGATGATTACCATAGAAACCAAAATATATAGAAAAAAGGGAGTACAGGTGTACAATAGGATATAACCATAAACCCCTATCAATCCTGTCAAGTAATGCAATGAGCTAGCCCTGTACTGCGCAGTCTAGCTCAGGTGAACAAACAGAAGCTCCTGATTAGTGGCATTGTTTGTGGAGGTGGGGAGTGTTTCCCAGTGGTCCCCAGGTAAGAATGGTTTGACTAGTTACAATGGGGAGAACCAGGGCTCACTTTGCACTGTGTGTGTGTGTGTGTGTGTGTGTGTGTGTGTGTGTATATATATATATATATATATATATATATATATCTCATCCATCCACACTTCTCTAGTCTGAACGACATTCCAATGTCCTTGCTGTATATCCTAGTTGGGTGGATCAGTGAGTCAATGATGGCAAATTGAGAGAAGATGATCAACGCAGAACGAGTTCAAGTTCCAGAAGGCCAAATAGAAGATGTAGAGAACAACTACAAGTACATGGGGGTACCATAAATGCATGATAACTATGATGAAGAGGCAAGGAGGATACCAACATCCAAGTACCCCCAAGAGTCAGACAGCTCATGAAGTCCCAGCTCAATGGCAAGAACAAGATCCAAGACATTAACCTAATTGCCCTATCGGTCATCAGGTGCCCAGCCTGAATAATAACCTGGCCATGAGAAGAACTGGTCACCATGGATGTCAAGACCTGGAAACTACTCCCTATGATTGGAGGATTACACCTGAAATGCAGCATCTAGAGACTGGACACCAGCCGGAAGGAAGGAGGTTGAGGCCTGATGAATGTCAAGGCCAGTCCTGGATGAAATACAGAGCATCCACAAGTACATCACAAAGAGGTCTCCCAAAGATGAACTGCTAAGGAAATGCCTGAGACTACAACAGATAAAGGATGCAGAAAAAGGTTTCTCTCAAGACAAACCTCTCCATGGGGTGAACCACCGGCAGATAGTTGATGTGGCTCACATGACAAAATCCTACCAGTGGTTGGAAAAGGCAGGACTGCGGCACTAATCCAAGCAGCACAGGAACAGTCACTCAGCACCAAATCAGTAGAAGCTGGAGTCTACCACACCATGCAAGACCCAAGGAGCAGACTGTGTGTAAAGAGGCTTCTGAGACAGTCCAGCACTTAGTAGCCGGATGCTAGATGTTAGCAGTAACCGCATACATGGAGAGACCTAACCAAGTTGCTAGGATTGTGTACCAAAACAACTGCACAGAATATGGATTGGACCTGCCTAAGTCCATATGGGAGATACCACAAAGAGTAGCTGAGAATGACCGGACTAAGATCCTGTGGGACTTTAAGATTTAGACAGACAAGCAAATCTGGCCAACCAACTCGTGGTAGACAAGGAACAGAAGACTGCAGTTGTGGTGGATGTGGCAATACCCAGTGGCTATAACATCAGGAATAAGGAACATGAGAAGGTGGAGAAATACCAAGGACTGAAAGAAGAACTAGAAAGGATGTGGAAAGTGAAGGCCGTATTAGTTCCAGTTGTGATAGAAGCACTCGGGGCTGCGACTCCCAAGTTGGGGAAATGGCTTCAACAGATTCCAGGTGGGACATCTGAGATCGCTGTCCAGAAGAGTGCAGTACTAGGAACAGCTAAGATACTGCGCAGAACCCTCAAATTCCCAGGCCTCTGGTAGAGGACCCGAGAATGAGGAATAAACATACCACCCAGGAGGGGTGGGGGTGCGAAAATAAATTTAATTTTTTTTTTTATTTTTTTTTTAATATATGATATTTATATGTACCAAAGATGTCCAAGACTTTGTTTTCACAGCCAGTGGTGGCGGTGTCTCCCTGAACAGTCCGGGCCACCAGAACCGTTGGGTCCGTGACAGTGGTCATGGTTGTCACACCCTGATGGTGGCCCAAGACAAATACACTTATAAATTCAGATAGTGTCCCACAGAAATGTGTATATACTCTAATACAAATATACATTAATGCGTTCACACTATATAAACACAAAAAGGCTTATTTATAACATATTCAGTGCTGTGGAATATGTTTGAGAAATATAATAATTCCATATACAGGGAATTGCAAAAGTGAGCTGGAGATTTTATTTACTTATTTCCTTCTTACAATCCTGCTATTAAGGTGTTAATTCACTGTAGTAATTAGTCAGCGCCAACCCATTTTTCAAAGTGAGTGTTTTTCATTATACACCCCATAATTGATCTGGTAAATCACTTGCCATGAAGAAGTTAAAGACACAATTCCAGCATTCAGAGGAAAAAAAACAACTTGCCGAAACACTTGATCCTCAATAATGTACAGTGCAGTTGAAATGCACTGCAAGTGTTTTCAAAATGTATTGCTGTCACAATCAGCCTGCAACATGAGATGTTGGGAAATAAATCTGGCGTTTAATTGCCTGGTTGATTATTGTATCACCGCTTCTTTATGTTGCAATATATCTTGTTGGGAAATAGATTGAGAAATGTGTCTTTCTTTCAAATACAGTAAATAATAGTGTAAAAT